GATGCAGGGATGGTTAGGGCAGAGTGTGCTGTGTAAACTCACACAGCCCCAATAAATGAGAGGTGTTCCCAGTGGGTCCCCTCAGAGCCTGTCAGGTTTTACCTCCCTGAACCATCTGTGAATGTTTAACGAGCTGCTGAAACCCACTGGTGGACAAAAGGCATTGCTGGCATTCTTGGGCTTCACCAGAATGTGATGATCCAAACAAGATGCATCCAGCCAGACCTTTCCTGAAACCACCAGGCCCAGTGGGAGGTGTGGTGAATCCAGAGTGTTTGTTGGCATTCTCTGCAGGAGAAAACTCGAGGCCCTCCAGCCTCGGGTGTGCAGGAATAACTTGGGGTGCCTGTGCCCCTGATTTACAGTGACCACAGACACGCTCATCCATCTCATCCTACTGACATCACTCCTTGTTTTCCTTTTCAGAATTCCATGAAAGTCTATGAAACTTCTTTTTCCCCTCTTTTCTCCCAAAGGAATTGGGAAAAATTGGCTTTAAAAAGGACTGGCACAGCTGCCCAGGGCAGGGGGGGAGTCCCCGTCCCTGGAGGGATTCAGAAGCCGTGTGGATGTGGCACTTGGGGACATGAGTCAGTGCTGGGGAGTGGTTGGACTTGATGGTCTTAGAGGGCTTTTCCAACTTCGATGATTCTGTGATCCTGTGAAAATCTCACTATTAAAGGTCGTGTTGAGCAGGTAAAGGCCCCTGAAGTGTCACCCACAAGGGATGTGGGGAGAGCACAGTGACTCCCATCCTGTACTGCTCCGACGAGATGGGCTTTAGGGTCCCTTCCATCCCAAACCACTCCAGGACTCTGTGATTCTGTGAACTGAGGCACAGTCATGGACAGCTGGAAAAACATACTCTGCTGCTGCCTGAACGCCACTGGAGCAAAGGATTTTCACACTTCTGTCCTTCAAAGGAAAAACAACACCCCCGGCCAGGAATGTTTTCCCTTGGGCTGGGAGCCCCAGAGCTCAGCCAGGCAGAGACCTTTGGGAACGGGGTCTGTTCTGTCACACGTGGCCTCCTCCTGTTGTTTACTCTTGAATAAAGAGTCATCCTAACAAAGGTTTGGAGCCCTTCACAAGACTGTTATGTGGCAACACAAAGTTATCTTTTACAAAAAATCGGTGGAAACAAAGGACCCCCTCACAGACACACATCTTTTCCATTAATAATTCCAGTAACTAGAAAACAGGGGGTTTTTTGCTCCTGGCCTGGAGGCAGGTCCCTTCTGTGATCATGGATTTTTGATGATCTTTACCCGGGCTCTGTGCACTGAAACTGGGGTGATTTCCCTGCTGAGGAGGAGTCAGAAGGGAAGGGCGGGGACAGAGACCAGGGGGCAAAACTTGGCTCTTAAACAATAACTGTTGCTTAAACATATTGGTACTTTTGTCCTAACAAAGCCAAGTGATTCCAGTTTGTACTAAAAATTGCAGTTAATTAAATTGCCAGGATTATCACAGAATCATAAAAGACTTTGGGTTGGAAGGAACCCAAAGACCATCTCATTCAATGGGCAGGGACACCTTCCACTAGACCATGTTTCTCCAAGCCTTGTCCAGCCTGGCCCTGAAAACTTCCAGGGATGGGGAGTTTATATCCACAGAAGATGGACAGAACATTCATATTACGTTTATATTGTCCCCAGTTGTAGGAGCAAATAAGCCTAAATCTTTTGGTCTCTTGGGAGTGTGTGAGACCTTTCAGGGCTCCCTGGTCCGGGGGGATCCCCTGGTGGGGCAGGACCGGGATCGGCTCCCATGGCATCGGTGAGCAGGATGGAGGCCCTGGATGGGGCACTGGGAGCCCAGGGGGGGCTGTCCTGACACAACCAACCCCAACACAAACTGCTGTGAGAGCTCCAGCTCACTTCAGTGAAACACTCAGATGGATCAAGTCTCATTTTGCTTCTTTCTTTGCCTAATTGGACAACGGGGAGATTTATGGTATAATTGAGCCAACTCAATGGAGCTGTAATTTGACATCTAATTAATCACTGTCTGTTCCTACACAGGTGCAGTGTAAGTGCTTCCTAACTGCTGCAGGCATGTTTCTATGGAAAAAAATGCCAACTAAACCCCATTTCTTGTTTCCTTCTACGATTTCAGCACGAAAAGCTGCTGGAGAACTGTCCCTGCCCCAGGGCACGAGGAGCAGGGTGGTCACACCCCACAGGATGGGCACAGTGCAGGTTGCTGGAGGCACAGATGATCCTTGTTGCTGCTCAAAGTGAGAGAAGGAGCTTTTCTCACCAAAATACTCCTCACTGCAAGGCAGGTGCCTGAGGGCTGTCAGTGGGGAGGGAAGGGATGCTGTTCCTGCAGGTGCCCAAGCCTGGTGAGTGTAGGAAGCTGCCACCAGGACAGGCAGGGATCCCAGTAAAATCCTGGCCCTGGTGGAGTTAACAGGAGTTAAAATCCTGGTCCTGGTGGAGTTAACAGGAATTTTGCACTTGACCTTAGCGAGGTCAAGGATTTTACCAAGGAATATTAGTCACCAGCATCGAGATGAATTAGATGACTTGTCAACAACAGGCAGGCAAGGTTATTCCCGTGGGCTGCCGGGCTTAGAGTTGGAAAAGCTGGAAAAATAAATCCAGCTTCTTGCATTTCTCCCTACACTGTGTGTGATGCCTGTGGGCAACACCTGAGCGTTTATCGCCCGTGTTCCCCCGTTCCTGTCCAACACGCTGGGGAACGCTTTGTGCGGAGAGGAGGAGGGAATTGTAGGGTAAAATTTCCTTGGAAAGCTTCCCAGGACCGGGCTCAGCCCTGGGAAGGCAGTGTCGGTGCAATATGGTTCATATTTCTGGGAAACACCGTCAGTGGGAGCCCTGTGGAAGTGCACAGGGTTGGGAGAGTCACACCCAGCCAGCCCCACGCACACACGGCTTGGAAATCCTGGCTTGGATTTCAGGATGTGACCCCCTTGGGGCTTAGTAAACCAGCAAATATGACAACAAAAATTAATTTGAATTTCCAAGCACAGTTTAGCACCGAGGAGGAAACATTTTAATGAGGAGGTTTGTGGGTGAACACTCTTGTTTTCCACCTGGCTCAGGAATGGTGATCCTGCCATCCCACCTGGGCACAGGAATATCTATCTGGGCAGAAAATCTGACCAGCGTGGCCCAGGTGTGAGGGGTCATAAGAGAGCTATTTGCAAACACTTAACCAGAAGGAACACAAGAATTTCTCGGAGAATAATAGAACAAAATAGAATATTTGAAACAAAAATTATTTGCTTGTGAGCAACAAAGAATTACAGGAAGTAGTTAAATTTGTTAGAGAAATCAATGATTCTGTATTATTTGCCTGGCTAAATATCACTAATCTTCCTGTTTATCCTACAAACCTTTTATCATGGAACTATTTTGTTCTTCGTGTTTCCTGAGCTGCAGAAACAGGTGGTGTTACTTGTGATGTAACTCGGCCTGGGAGCAGCTCTAAGTGCTGCTCTCCCTTCATGTGATGCTGGAATGGTTTGGGTTGGAAGGGACCTCAAAGCCCATCCAGTCCCACCCCCTGCCATGGGCAGGGACACCTTCCACTGTCCCAGGTTGCTCCAAGCCCCGTCCAACCTGGCCTTGGGCACTCCCAGGGCTGGGGCAGCTGCAGTGCCTCTGGGCATCAGTGACACGCAGAGTTTTGAAGGAAGGAAGGGGAACAGGTTTCCCCCATTATTCCCCCCCACCCTGACAGCTCATGGCCAGGCACAGAGAAGTCTGTTCCTCATTTCTGTTCTCTCTGCAGTCCTCTGAGGAGGGAACTCGCCCTCAGCTGCCCCATCCAGCACAGGAGGGCTCTGGGCTGTGCTTTGCAGGGTGTTTGGACGCAGTGATGCAGCTGCCAATGCATTTTTGGGAATCCTCTTGCCCTGCTGTAGGTCACAGAATAATTCTGTCCCAGAATTATAAGTCCCCCCAGCAGGGACCCTAGGGAGGTCATGCAGTCCAACTCCCATTCCCAGCAGGGCTGTGCTCCAGGGGCTCCCCTGTGGACTGCACACAGCTGGAAGCCCCCCCTCATCCCACCAGTGCTCCCACCCTGCCAGTGGGAGAGCAGCTCCCGGGCTGGGTCGGCTCCCGTCCTCCCTGCAGAGGTGCTGTGTGACGGGAGCAGTGCACGGCCCCGAGGTGTGAGCCAGCTCCTCTGTGCCAGAGCCAGCCCACCACTCCCTTTGTCATCCCAGCATCGGGCGGGCGAGGAAGCGGTGCCTGAGCTCCAGTTGTTCCTGAGTGCAATGTGAGGCCACACACTCACCCAGGCTGGGATTCCTGGAAGGTCCATGTGATGTGGCACAGAAATCATGGTGGGCATCAGCTCTTCAGGGAAACATGCATTGTTGCCCTCACATAAGCACGATCACGTAAGTGGGAGGCAATATGGTGAAGGATTTGTTTCCTGGAGAAGTGATGCTGATCTGTAAAGCTTGGAGGGTTTGGGAATTGGTCCCATTCAGGAGTGTTCATGTCTGGATTTTGGTCTGGTTTTGGGTCTGGTTTTCCAGCTGCTGGCTCAGGTTTAGATCCTAAGCCTTGGCCTGTGCCCCCAGTTTGTAGAGGGACGGGGGGAGTTGGTTTGGACTGGGAACTCTCCCTGTTGGCAGGGAGGTGATGCCTCACTGTGACAGGGGGACAGGCTGGCTGAGCCCCAGGGTCACAGCCAGGACCCCCCCAGAGCTCCCCTGCTCCCATGGACCCCCTGGTAGTGGCACTGCTGCTGCCCCTGGGGGACACACCGGGGGGTTGGTGTATCTTAGGGACAGGGCTGGGATTTATCCCTCTCCCCATCTCCGTGAGGCTCCGCTCCCCCCCCAAACCCTGCTGAAGAACAGGATTGCGCAGGGAAGGGGAACTCACACCCCCAGAGAGAGACAATGACACCTTTTGTGCTGGAAGTTGTGCAAGACAGAGGCTGTTCCTGGCAGGGAGGAGCAGACGCTCCCCAAGTCCTGGTGCTGGGGCCAAGGAGGGCCCTTGCATCCATCCCTTTGTCCAAGAGGAGCCCAGGGACCCTCTGTTGAGCCCACCAAGAGCTCTCACATTGTCATCTGCAAGGATGAGCAAACCAGCTGAGGGAATTGAGCACAGCCAGAGCCACCAACACCTTCCCTGCTCAGAGGGTGGCAGAGATTTAAATCCAAAGCGTTCCTATACATGTTGTTTTAAAAAGAACCAGTAAAAACTATTTATATATTTGCTTGAGAAGTTCCCTGCTCTCGTCCTACACTAGATTGACGATTTCTGTGTTTCTCCTTTCAGGAGCATGACTAGAATAAGTTACCAGCTGAATTTCTCTTTTATTTTCCTCCAAGTTTTAATTTAAGTCAGGAGAAGTGTGGCTGAGCTTCTTATTTGAGGGAATGGTTGTCTGGCACAGGACCCAGGCTCTCTCTGACTCCAGAGCTGCACATCCCATATTGTTCCCATCCCGTTGGGATTGGGAGGCAGGATGTGAGGGCTGGTGACAGCGAAGTGCTGGTGACAAGGCCGGGGACAGCAGGTGGAACAGAGCCCTGTTTGCCTCCCACACGAGGAGTGTTACACTCATGACATTGATGACATCACTCCTTGGTGCCAGACTGAAACTTGGCATCCAGGTTGAGAAATACAGACTATTTTGTCTGTAAAACTTGTTTTTAGTGGCCAACCTCCCGTGTCACTGAACTCACACCCGTGAACGCAGGGTTTAGTACAGGAGAGAATTTTGGAACTCAGGACCATAAACCCATGAGTTCACACCTAGAAATTAACTTCATTCCCCTCAGACTCAGTGGTGTGTCCTGTGGGCAAAGAAAGGATTTATTGGTCCAGGGATTGAAAATGAAACGGCTGAAATCTCCTTTCCTCGTGGGCCAGAGCAGCCGTGGAAATTTCCCCCCGTGTGCCTTTCCTTCCCCTGGCCCTGCTGCCTGGAAGTGATGGGCTTCCCACAGCCTCTGTGGCTGAACTGAGCTTTAACAAGGTTCTTCTGCTCACTTTGCCACACCCTGTGGCCTGACTCTCACCTCCACATCTCGGCTGATATGAGGGTTTTCAGGAATTTGAATGTTCCAGCGTCTCTCTGGATGCCGAGAGCTTCGGGAAGTCTGGAGCTGGTTAAGGCATCTCATGGGCCACTGGGAGAGCTCTCCTCCTGCCCCTCTGACTTCCTCACCAAACCACCCAAAATCACCAGGACAACATTCCAGAAAGCAGATTCCACTGCCACGCTCTGCCAGGAGCTGCCAAACACCAGTGGGCTCCTTCTGCCACCGAGTGCAAGGAACATGTTACAGCAAAAAGCAGCTTTTCCTGATTTTCCCACCTTTTTGGCAACAACTTTTTTTTGCAAAATATACATTTTTCTAGGTTGGAAATTTTCAAATTTTATTTCTGCTCAGCCTTGACTGATCTCTGAGTTAATTTCTTCACTTGCAGACTTCTCATTCCTTTTTTCCCTCCTTTTTTGCTTTCAGTCTCTCCTGCAGTACTTCCTCCACTTTGGAATCATTTGAAAGCAACAAAGAAAATCAAGCAAACTGGGAATTTTTCAGGTTTGGAGAAATTTTGAAGAGTTACAGTTGGAGAAGATAATTTAAAATAAAAAAAAAAAGGAAAACAGAATTTAAAAATTACATTCAGTTACAAAGGGGAGCAAAAGCAGGAAAAAGAGGGAAAATTGAAACAGTTAAATATTTTAAATCATTTCCCAGCAGTGTGAAATCTTTCAGATTTGCCCAGTTTAAATCTGAAAGAAGCAGCACAGACACATATAAACAGCAAAAGGATGAAGTCCACTGGGATTAAATAATAAGGAAAATTAACTTTTTCCATCCAAGCAACTGAGGGAAGCAGAAGGTCCTTAGGCTTGCAATGCTCTTGGCAGCGTCAGCAGCCACCCAGACCCGGGCACAGGCTGAGTGGTTGGGGTCCAGGCTGTTTCTAACCATATTCCCTGTATTTCAGGACATTGGGCTGAGCTAAAAAACCCCTGGATTTCCCACGAGAAGGTGGAAGCTGCTCCCACACCACCAGTGTCCCCGTGCCAGGGCGGGCAGGCACCACTCACCCAGTGCTGTCACCGACGGCCCCCTCTGCAAACCAGGTCTCCCCACAGGTCCCTGAGGAGCAGGAGCTGGGACTGGGAGGTGAGGGAGCAGCTGTCCTTGCCCCCCAGGTGTGGTGGCAGCAGAGCTACAGGTAGGTGGTGGCCTCGTGGCTGTCGCGCTGCCGCGCCTGCGCCACGGCCACGTTGAGGCACTGCAGCCACTGCCCCGCCCGGCGCTCGTCCTGCGCCTTCAGCACGTACCTCCTGCTCTCCGTGAAGATCTCGAAGGCCCGGGGCAGGCTCCGGTCCCGCCGCTTCCGCGCCACCACTTTGACACTCTGCACCTTGCTGAGCTCGATGGGGCTCTCGTCGGGGTCGTCCTTCTGGAACACAGCGGGGACAGAGCTCAGTTATCCGGGGTGAGCCACCCACCATCTCATCTGACACCCCTTGGAAGTGTCCAAGGCCGGGTTGGAGGGGGCTTGGAGCAACCTGGGCTAGTGGAAAGTGTCCCTGCCCATGGCAGGGGGTGGAGATGGTCTTTAAGGCCCCGGAAACTTGAGGACCCACCACCAGCAGCTCCCGTGCAGGACTTTGGCTGGGGCTGTTCCATCCCCGGCTGTCCCTGCCACGCACTCTGCAAGTGGCAAAAGTACCACAGGCAAAGTGAAACCCTCTGGAAATGGTGTTGGGGAGCAGGGAAAGGGAGACACCAAAGGGATGGTCTCTGACTCACAGACTTTCCCTTCCGGAACAGCAGCTGGTTGCCAGCCAGGGTGAAGTAGCGAGTTTTCCACCTCTTGATGAACTTCCACCGGACCTGCTTCTCCTTCAGCTTCCCTTCGATCAGGGGTTGGCCGTCCTGGTTCACAACTGGGGAGGTGAACACACAGCCAGGGGTCAGTCCTGCCCTCCCTTTCTCCCAGCCAAAATCCAGGCCCGTGCCATGCTGCAGGAAGGTTGTTTTGCCTTCCTCATTTTCCAAACCTCCAGCATTCATCCAGTCCCACCCCCTGCTGTGGGCAGGGACACCTTCCACTAGCCCAGGTCGCTCCAAGCCCCGTCCAACCTGGCCTTGGACACTTCCAGGGATGGGGCAGCCACAGCTTCTCTGGGCAACCTGTGCCAGGGTCTCCCCACCCTTCCAGGGGGAATTTCTCCCCAGTATCCATCTCACCCTGCCCTCTGGCAGTTTGAAGCCATCACCCCAATATCTCCTCTGGGTTTCTTTTCCCTTCCTCTTCTATTTTTACACCGATAGCCAGGACAGGGAGGATCAGCCAGACTGGGGGCAGCCCAAGGCACAGGCAGACTGAGAACGGATGGTTTTTGATGGGATGTTTGACTTGGAGCCCATCCCAGCATCTGTCAGACGGTCAGTTGGCCCCCGGCTGTTCTCCCACCCCTCAGCCTCAGTTTGTCCAGCAACGCTTTTCCTTGGAAGTGTTTGTTGTCATCTGGGCACGAGGCTCTGGGAGCCCAGGGGCTTGGTGAGGATGGAGGTGAGTGGGGTGGCCAAGTGCAGCCACCCAAGGCAGTGCCTCGGGCTTTATGGCTTTTTGGGCACCTCCCTCCCACCTGGAAGAGGGAAATCAAACACCACCACAACACATCAGATGCAGATAAAGGCCGTGTCCTCTCCCTGCTGTTGTTTATGTTGGCAGGGGGGCTGCAGAGGGGACTGGAGCAATTTCCTCAGGAAAGACCATAAATATTTCTGTCTCTGTGGATGGGGAGTGTTTGGAAGGAGAGGGATGAATGAAAAGGGGGTTGGCAAAGCCCCAGTGCCGGTGGGGAACTGCAGCTGGGGTTTCCACGACAGAACCAGATCGTGCTCTGCTCCACGTAACTCCACAACTCTCTTCCATATATTTTCATGCCAGCACTGGTGTGTTGGGTCACACCATGGGATAAAGCAAAGCAGAGGGTTGTTTTCTTTTTGCATAACTTTTGTCACTGCAAAATGGCCCAGATTTACCAGGGAGCTGGTTTGGGGCTGCCCCGTCTCACCACACGCTTGCTAGTGGGGCAGAGCCATGTTTTACAGTGCCCCCCCTAATAAACACTGTGCAATTGTGTTAAATATTGTTCTCTACCTGGCTCCTGGTCCCACAGGAACACCTTCCATCTGATTCCAGTGCAGTAGGGATGTGCTCTAACCCCAACTAAGAAGGTGTAAACCACAAAAGGTTCAGGGACCAGAAGATGCTGAGACAGTTTTTGTTCAGGAGCACAATGTGAGAAAGGAAGTGAATGTGCAATTTTGGCCTAAAGTGAATTTTTATGGCCGAAATCTTTCAAAATCAGAAATGTTGATCTCTCTTTAAGGACTTTAGGCAGTGCTAACAGAGCACTTCTCCTGTGCATCCACAAAGAAGCCCATGGGGAATTCTGATGTCAGTGGTCGTAATGAATCTGATGCCAGTGTGTCTGAGGGGCTGATTAGAAGAGAAAGATTCACGAAAGATAAGAATGAAGCTCTTTTCCAATATTTTTCTAAGCTCTTCTGCTTATTTTCCTTGTGGTTGACTTCACAGAACCACAGGATAATTCAGCTGGAGGGGAGCTCAGGGGGTCTCTCCCCCAAACCCCTGCTCCAAGCAAGGTCCCCTCTAGGGTCACACTGGGCTGCCCATGGATTTATCCATCCTGGACTTGATAAATCTCAACAACATCTCTGGGCTAACTGTTCCAATGCTTGGTCACCCTCGTGGTGGGAAAGTTTCCCCTCGTGGGAAGTCTGAACCTCTCCTGTTCCAATTTATGCCTCTTGCCTTCCCCCCACACACCCCAGAAGAGCCAGTTTTGATTTCTTCCCCTTGCATGAACAAGGACAAATGGAAAGTGTTCAGAAAAGTGACTGAAGAGTGATTTAAGACTGACATTCCATATGAGTGTTCATATCATGGGAAACAAATAAAGTGTATTCTCCTTAATTTGCCCAAGCAAAGATCAAGATGTGGCACAATAAATTCTACAAATAAAGGTTTTCTGCAGAGCAGGGAAGGGCATAAAGTGGTGCAGTGGTTACAGATAAAAACTGGGATTATTTCTAGTCTGACGTGGTTAAATCACCTGAGCAACAGCCTGGGCATGTCATGGCTTCTCCTTTACTTGACTTCTAAAAATCAGGTTTAGACATCTTCAGAAAAACACGCAAAAAGATAGAGATCAAAGAGAAAACCTTTCTTTGATATCAGCATTATTGGGCAGGATTCCTTGCTGTTTAGGTCAGCCTAGGTGGTCCCTAGGCTGGGTTTGAAATCCCTCTGTGTGGTGGCACCTTGACATGGACCATGGGATCTTTAGCTTGGAAAAAGAAATTAAAAGTTCCAAAGGTTATATTTACTTCATATTTATGATTACTTTTCTTTTTTTCTTCAGAACACATAAAAAGGCAAAAACTATCATCCAAAGTCAAAATCAAAAATTATTTAGTATAATACAGAACAACAGGCTGGTTTGGGTGGGAAGGGACATTAAAGCTCATCCAGTCCCTGTGCCAGGGCCTCACCACCCTCACAGGGAGGAATTTCTTCCCAATATCCCATCTAAATTTCTCCTTTTTTGGTTTGAAAAGGTCATGAAATATCTAAAGGTCTTGAAATATCCAGTTCTTAAGGCATCTTAATGTAGAGACACCAACTCCAATTTAACCCTGAATAGTTCCTGTTTGATGTGTCTTTTGGAATTATTTCCTATGTTCTGTCTTGCTTTCTCTGCAGAATTTCAGCACATCCAGCTTTAAGTAGTTTGGGCACTGAATAAAAAGTGAAAAACCCTCCAAACTCTTCCAAGATGAGACAGATAAACCCCAAAGCATTAAATCTTGCATTTGGTGAAACATAAAATCCTCCACAAGAATTCATGAATGATCTCAACGATAATAAACTCCTATGAACTTGAAAGAATGGAATGTGTGGCAGAGAAATGCAGTTAACCCCAGGGGATATGGATCCTCTCTTCCATGAATCATCACACTGGGTTTTGCTGGAGAGAACACGGCACCAAATGCCACTTTCTGTGATTTCCAAGTGAGTGCCACAGCTGGGCTCTCTGGGTCCCTGTGTGATCCCCACTGCTGGAGGGAGAGAGATGTATCCACAGGTTACTCCAGTGGGGGCTTATCTGAGGGAATTGCTCTTTTCCAGAGAATTACAGAATCACAGAATCAGCTGGGTTGGAAGGGACCTCTGAGATCATCAAGTCCAACCCTTGATCCAACCCTGCCGTGGTTCCCAGCCCATGGCACTGATGCCACATCCAGTCTGTCCTTAAACACCTCCAGGGATGGAGAATCCACCACTTCCCTGGGCAGCCCATTCCAATGGCTGAGCACCCTCTCTGCAAAGAAATTCTTCCTAATCTCCAACCTAACCCTCCCCTGGCACAGCTGAAGACCCAGCCCTCTTGTCTTGCTGAGAGTTGCCTGGGAAAAGAGACCAACCCCCCCCGGCTCCCCCCTCCTGTCAGGGAGTTGCAGAGAGTGAGGAGGTCTCCCCTGAGCCTCCTCTTCTCCAGGCTGACAGCCCCAGCTCCCTCAGCCTCTCCTCCCAGCACTTGTGCTCCAGTCCCTTCCCCAGCCTCGTTGCTCTCCTCTGGACCTGCTCCAGCCCCTCCATGTCCTTCCTGAGCTGAGGGCCCAGAGCTGGACACAGCACTCCAGGGGTGGCCTCACCAGCACTGAGTCCAGGGGCAGAATCACTTCCCTGGACCTGTTGGCCACCCTGTTCCTGAGCCAGGCCAGGATCCATTGGCCCTCTTGGCCACCTGGGCACACTCTGGCTCCTGTTCAGCTCCCTGTCCATCCCCACTCCCAGCTCCCTTCCTGCCTGGCTGCTCTCCAGCCCTTCTGGCCCAGCCTGTAGCACTGCATGGGGTTGTTGTGGCCAAAGTGCAGGACCCGGCCCTTGGCCTGGTTGAACCTCATCCCGTTGGAATCAGCCCAACTCTCCAGCCTGTCCAGGTCCCTCTGCAGAGCCCTCCTGCCTTCCAGCTGATCAACACTCCTCCCCAGCTTAGTGTCATCTGCAAATTTGCTGATGGTGGACTCAATCCCCTCATCTAAATCCTCAGTAAAGATATTAAACAGAACTGGGCCCAACACTGATCCCTGGGGACACCAACAGTGACCGGATCCCAACTGGATGCAGCACCATTCACCACCACTCTCCGGGCCCGGCCCTCCAGCCAGTTCCTGACCCAGCACAGGGTGTCCCTGTACAGGAATTCACCAAACCCCCTCAGTTTCACCCCAGTCATTGCCCACGAGCACGAGGGCTCTGGTGCAACCCCCAGGGGTTTCTGCCGTGGCTCTGCAGGATTCCAGAGCAGGGAATGTGCTGCAACTCCCTCACTGCCCGGTAAGCGGTTTTCCAGAATTGTTTTGTGCCAGAGCTCGTGAAGCCAACTGTCAACAGGGGGCTGTGTTGAAATGAGGCTCCCAACAACCAGCTCTTCCTAAGGAGAGGAATTCTCAGTTTACCAGCATTCCAATGCCTTGTGACTGTGCCTGAATGTCCGTAACCTAAGCAAATAATAGTGTAGGCTGGTTTTCCTGCCCCTGAGACCAGGGCACGTACGTGTGTTTGAGGAAGATATGTGGGAATGCTCCTCCTCATTGGTAGGGAAAACCAATTTGGGATGATTTAACAGCACCTCTGGAAATGTGTGGTTGCAAAAGACATGCTTTGCAACCAAAGGAACGCACGAGAAATACTCCAACTTTCTCTGGGTTCGTTGCCACTGTGGGTTCATCCAGCAAGTTGCTGAAGCATAACTGGCTCTTTCCACACAGGATCAGCCTCCAAGTGTAGTCCAGCTCCAAAAATCCCCCAAAAAGTCAGTGATCACAGTATCATGGAATGGTTTGGGTTGGGAGGGACCTTAAAGCCCATCCAGTCCCACCCCCTGCCATGGGCAGGGACACCTTCCTCTATCCCAGGTTGCTCCAAGCCCCATCTAACCTGGCCTTGGACACTTCCAGGGATGGGGCAGCCCCAGCTTCTCTGGGCATCCCAAGGTCAAGGCCTTAGGACAAAATGCTTGCCCAAGTCTGGAGGATAAAAGGCATCTTGCAACACAGCATCCAAAAAAATGCAACAAAACCCCACATGAACAGAAACCAGAAGACAATAATAGAAAAAGAATTTGCCTCTGAATTCCTTCTCCAAGAAGAATTCGGTTGCTAAACTGCATTGCTGAGAGGAAGAAATTACTGTCTTGTCTTTCAAAAGTATTTGGGGTTTCAGAGTGTCTGTCCCACTCTGGAATGAAAATAAAAGATGTTTCACAGCCTTCACATTCCTCATCAAGCCAAGGAGACCTTAAAATCGTCTTTCTTGTGTCAGATCTTATAAATCCAGAAAACCCCCGGAGGGTCCCACTCTGGACTCTTCCCAGCTGCCACAGCTCCCCATCACCAATACAGAGGGGAATTTGCCATTCCCTGCAGATTTTATTCCACTGAGCTCTACCTTCCATGTTCCTTTCCTGAGTTTTCACATGGTCCATTCAAGACTTTATTTCCTTGGCCTTCTAAAGGCCTTTGGAGCAGAGAAGCAAATCATGATATATTCACAATGTACCTTTCTTACAAAGTTATCTTTAAACTGAGACAAAGAGAGTCATTGCCCATAAAAAGGACAGTTACAGCCCAAAAATATTCTGTGCCCATTCCTCCTGCTCCTGCCCATCCTCAAAGGCATCCCTGAACTCAGCCCTGGCTCCAAAGCAAAAGGGAAATGGGGATTTTGTGGGTGCTGATTTTTATTAGATTCTTCTCCTGCCTCACACATCTTCAGAGAGGGGGGATTTTGGCACTTCTTGGGAAGCACAGAACAGCTCCACTGCTGGGTGGAACCTGCTCAGGTTGGAGGGCAGAGCTTTGGCTGCATTAATCATAGAATCAGAGAATCATAAAGGTTGGAAAAGACTTCCAGGATCAAGTCCAACCTTTGACTGACACCAGCATGTCAACTAAATCATATTGTGAAATGCCACATTTACTCACTTTTTAAATCTCACCAGGGATGGGGACTCCCCCTCTCTCTGACTTCTGGGCCTTCACAGGACACCCCAAGAATCCCACCCTGTGCCTGGGCCCACTGTCCAAACACTCCTCTTTGGACCAGTTAAATGCCTTTGGAAATTTTGCCCGAAGCTGTTTCATGAAGCCTTGGCATTTTAAGCAGGAGACTCCTTTCCCTTGCAGCCTGACACCCGTCTGTCACTGGTGTGAGGGACAAACCACACTCAGACCACTGTGGATGTGAAATTTTGGCTCAAAGTGTGATTTCTCTTGTGGCCATCGAGTCCCATGGGAGTTGTGGAAGGAGGAAGGTGCTCAAGCCCCACGGAAAGAGCAGGGGCAGCCTGGCCTGCAGCAGGGGCTGTGCCACCCTTGCAAGACTCACTGATGAGTACAAAGAGAGTTGTTAAATAGCTGGAAAATCCAATTATTCAAAGGCTTGACCAAAATACTCCAAATTCTTGGCCAGAACTGGGCAGATTTTTAGAGAGTGGCAAAACCCACCTAAGAACAAGCCATTCCTCTGTGTTTCAGTGCACTGATTTAAAACACGTGAGGGCCAGAGAGCTTCAAAACAGCTCACCAGGATCTTCTACCTGGGAAAAAGTCTGTTTGCCTGTTTTCCACTGCCCCTCTTTTCCAACACAGCTGAAGCATTCTGGCTGTTATTTCTGGACTGGGCACACACCAGGGCAGGTCTGTGCTTGCCTCTCTCATCGGAGAAGCTGAGAGGAGGGTAATGGAGAATTCCAATTAAAAGAGCCGCTGGAAAGTTTGGTTTCCCTTTTCCCCAACACTTGCCACCACCACCAGAGATGAGCTTCACTCACGCCATCCTCCCCCCTCCCCACACACCCACCAGTGGCAGGGGCTGGACCTGCCCACGTACCTGTTGCCTTCTCGGGGTTGTTGCACATGAAGCACTGCCAGGCTCCTGCCTCCTCGCTGTAGCCAAACAGATCAAAGAACCTCACTTCTTCCAGGTGCATCTGCACGTGGTCCAGGTCCTGGGCCAAGAATGAGAGAAACCAAACTCACTCAGGAGGTGAAGCACTGCAAGTCAACAGCTCGTAACCCCAAAGCCCAGAGGGACTCACAGCGAGTCCAGCGAGGGCCCTTCCCGTGTCTCCTGTGGATGGACAACCTGCCAGGGCCAATGTGCTCAGCAGGACGTGTCCCTCTCCCCACCAGCAGTAGCAGCTGATGTATAAATCATAGATTGGTCTGTGGGAGGCAGAGAATGGGGTTTCTTTTGCCTCCTCAGCAGCACTGTCAGCAGCTCGGCCCGGCACGTTCCCCAACTTCAGAGCACAAGTGTGATGGGGAGCAGCTGAGGGAGCTGGGGGGGCTCAGCCTGGAGAAAAGGAGGCTCAGGGGGGACCTTCTGGCTCTGCAACCCCCTGACAGGAGGGGAGAGCCGGGGGGGGTCAGGTTCTGCTCCCAGGGAACAAGGGACAGGAGGAGAGGGAACGGCCTCAGCTGTGCCAGGGGAGGTTTAAGTGGGATATTAGGGAAAATTTCTTCATGGAAAGGGCTGTCCAGCCCTGGCACAGCTGCCCAGAGCAGAAGTGGATCCCCATCCCTGGAGGGATTTAAAAGCTCTGTGGATGTGGCACTTGGGGACAGGGGTCAGTGGTGGCCTTGGCAGTGCTGGGGATGGTTGGACTTGATGGTCTTAGAGGGCTTTTCCAACCTAAACAATTCCATGTTTCTGTTATCCCCAGGGTTTTTTCAATGCTCCAGAAGGTTGTGGCCTCTACTGACACAATGCAGTGCTGGGCACTCCCTCCTGTCCCTCCAGATCCCCCATCAGAGCAGGGGTGACAAGCCAGGGAAGCAGGACTGTGAATCCCCAAAGTGAAGTGAACATATGACTTGCTCAGAGGAACCTACAGAACATAGACTTGCACCTGTGAGTATGGGAAAAGCCAGAGGATACTCATTTTGAGGTCATTAATAACAGTGTATAATTCAGTGTATTTTATTTTCATTTTGAAACCAATTCTGATCTCACACCTAAACAAACGTTGGTGTTAAATAACACCAGCCAACTGCAAACACAAAGGGCATTGCCAGCACTGCCCAGAAAACCCTGTTTGTGTAGGGTCTCCACAGGTCTGCAACACCCCAAGCTGCAGCCCAAGGAAAACATGGATTTATGCAGACAGTGGGGAAAACACCATCCCTTGCCAGGGCCATTAGTCCATCACACTGAGCAAGGCTCTGCAGAGGATGCAGTTGTCCAATTCCAGCCTTTTTAGACAAACTTTGGCATAGCAGAGGGAGCAGGGCACGGTCAGTGACTTGTCCTACCCCTGATGTGCCCCAACCTCCTGCTGTGGCACCTTGGAGGACACAACTGGGCAGAATGATGGCACTGCCCTCCCTGGGTCTGTGCAGCACATTCTAGGACATGGGGACAGGCTGGACAGAAAGCCTGGGAGCTTCCCCATCCCGTGAAAAAATCTGACAGTGTTTGAACTGAGCCAACTGTGGCCTGAAAGAGAGCAAATACCAGTGGAAATATCAGGGCACCAATCTGGCTTCTCCCTCTGTACTCGAGCACGCTTGAAATCCCCTGCAATAAGCCACTTATTTCAGGAGGGGAAGCGTGGGGGAAAAGCCTAATTGGAGAGGAGAGATTTATCTCACCCCCCTGCCCCATAATCTTGGAAACTTCAGTGAGTCCATTGTGCAAACGTGGAGCTCGTTCTGAGACAGCGACGGGGAAAGGGAGGGACAGTGCGAACAACAGCTCAGAAATGTGAGCTCTGCTCTCGCCAGGCTGAGCAACAAAAGGCTCTCTGAGGGCATCACATGGGGCTCGTAAAGCATCCCCATCTCCCTGCTCTGCCCCACGTGAGGCAGCACAAAGAGCCAGCCCTGAGCTCCAGCCCGGCCCCGGCTGCGCAACGCGGCCCCGCGGCCTTTGATAAAGAGCTGTGAAGCAACCGAACGGAAATCTGGAAGGATGTACATCTGGAAGTGCTTTGCTTCTGGCACATCCTAAGCCCTGTTGGATAAATATTTCTTTGTGGCACGAAGAGGCTGCCCAGCGAAGCACAGCGTGCTCTGTGTGAGCCAGGTACTCGCCGCGGGTCTGGGCCAACCTCGGGAGTCGCGGATGGTGACAGAAATCTGAAAACATTTCTCAGAATTTAGTCTGGAATAAGGCACTGATGTAATGGATTTTTCTCCAGGTTTGAAAAATGCTTTAGAGTCCACAATTGGGAAAAAGAATAAATTAACATATTCTGGATTAGACACAGGAGCAGAGGACAAACATGGAGTGATGGCAGAGCAGTGTTGTGGCACCGTCGTTCCTGTTGAGTGCTGGGGGTCAAACCTTCCTCACATGCTCACAGAAATTCATCATCATCATCACAGAATGGTTTGAGTTGGAAGGGACCTTACAGACCATCTAGTGCAACCTTTCACAGACCAGGTTGCTCAAATTCTGATAACACAATGCATAAGACTCAATGTAAAATATAACAGGCAATGTTGATGCTGCACTGGAACTGTCAGATTCCAAAACATTTCCAGTTAAAAGTGCTGCACTTAATGAAGCAACCACACCCCCAGCATTTTGCTTCCTGAACTACTGGCATTAACAACTACAATAATTTTGTCAAACAATTCACAGTATTTGAAGTTCTGTTACAAATGGGAAGAACTTCTGAAATGACAAACTCAGATTATGGCAGAAGCTGAGCTTGTCAAGCAAAGTAAGGACTAGGTCATGGCAGGAATTTCCCAGGTAGACTTTTTGGGAATGTAAAAGCCAAAGAAGACCTTCTCTATGGCAGTCCTAGACGTCATTCCCAGAAAACTCTGGGAATGTACTTTTCTCAAAAAAATGAATGGAAATAGCACTAGAAACAAACTCGGATTCTTATCAACAAACCCCAAACAAACTCAGGTTCTGTGTCAATAAACTAAACCAAACCAGAAAGCACACCCAGCAGCAAGCTGTGGAGCCCAAGACTGAGCTTTACAAACCCCTTCCCAAGCCAGATGAGTTCCATCTGCCCGACTGTCCCAAGGGCTGTTGGCCAATCCCAGCTCGGGAGTTCCCCAACCCCAATTCACTGCTCGGTTCATTCACCGAGCGAAGATCAGGATCTCATTTCCCAGCTCTGCTATTTTGGGAACTCAGAGATACTCTGACTGTCATGGGCTGATGAGAGTTCCCAAAATAGGCCAGACACTTGTATCTGAGCACTAACAGGGTTATGCAACCACGTGCTGGAGACTAATCCCATTGCCAGGGTGTTGGATGTGTTTTGTAGACTTTGTGTGCTTGGTGCAGCACATCCAATCTGCCCAACGACTGCCATGAAATCTTCCCTAAGCTCTTTATTCACCCCAAGCTCCTTCACACTCTACCAGCTCCGACTTCTGACGAGCAGATCTCGGCACAGGCTCAAGTTAAGCCAGTGTTGAGCAGCAAAGCTGTTCTAATGCCTCTGGATGAGTCAGGCTGGGATTTCAACAGCAGCTAAAATACTCAGCACAAGCTCCACTGTGTCTAAGTAAAACTGGCCCCAAAACTGGTCTCACATGTGGGGGTCTCCCACTCCTCTGACAAGCCACAGCACGAGTTCCCACTTCAGCACAACGTTATCCTGGGGGTTCAGAAGGTGTTTCTAACAAAACCCCTGGTTTTAAATCAGCCACAGCCTTGATAATTTAATCTTATTCCGTGAGACATCTCCATGCCCACAATATTCCAAGAGAGAGTATTTTAAAATCACGTTTGACAAGTCGTTTCATCCCGTTGAGCTGGATGGAGACGCTCAGGAATAAATAGATATTTGTTTTACAATCCTCCAGCTGCCTTTTCCAAGAAGTCTGATTAATAGCTTTGGAATAGCACTCGCTGAAATCCCGGAGACAGTAAACAGCTTTGAGCAAGTAATCTTTTAAACTGAGGGGGGCAAGGAATGGCACATGTGCACACCATCATTTCCATAGAATCCAAGGCCCTGTTTAACCAGGTGAACTTCCCAGGGGCTGCCCAACACCCCACAGCACCAGCTAATCTGAATCTTGAGGTGAAAGCTGTGAGCAGGAAAAAAACCACGGGCAGCATCCCTAATTTTCATCACTTTGGGAGCAATTCACGTGGAGAACGAGCCTGGAGACCTTTCAAATCACAGCACAAAACACCCCTGTGGACCCTCTGTGGAGCAAAGACTTGCTCTAGTTACTGTAAAGGTCTTTGTACAGCTGTTCCAAAATGCAGGGTAAAGTCCTTTTACCGTTTTTATTTGTGAGAAAAATAAACTCTCACCTTTTGGTGGGGGAATGTCGACTGGATCATGGCAGTTTCAAAGCTGTGCGTCCCCTTGAGCTGAGTCTTCTCCCACAGGGCCTTGAGGACTTGCACGGAATTGCTCTGTATGGACAAGGGTTCTGCAAACAAGCTCTGGAAAGATGGTGAGAACAGGGTTTCAGGCATTTTTTGCTTGGCCATGAACAAAGAACATCTTGGCCTTGCCATGAGAGTAACCAGGGGTTGGTTCAGCTCCAGGTAAGTTCTGATGGATCAACAGACACACGATTAGATACACCCTCAAATATTCCATTTCCTCTGGGGCTTTTTAAATTGGTTGTGTGTTCCGTGTCTTTGAGGTCTGTGGCTCACCAAGGACCATCTCCCAGCCACCACTGCACAACTTGCACATTGGTTTTGCCTTGCAATGCTCATCTCTCACCACCTGAGCAGCACTGGCCTCCAGGACCCAGGGATCTCGGGGATGTGCATCTCTTTGGGAAGATGTGGCATTTACCAGGCAGTGGGAAGAGATGCTTCACTCCACTCCAGGTTTGTGTATGTTTGTTTGGACCTCCTTCAGCTCTCGGTCCTTGTGCAGGGAGGAGTAACAGGGCAATGTTTGTGCCTGCACTGGACAGACAGTGGACGAAATGCGAGAGGAAAACCCCCCAGAACATGCTCAGCACAGGGTACAGGGTTTTTCAGCCCCTGGCCATTCACAGAACAAGATGAAACCTTGTTGAGTTGGGTGCTCTCCCCTCCAAAGCTCCCTCTGCCAAATGACACAACCTTCAACACCTGAAATTATTCTCATAATTGAACACCACTGAGTTCTTCAGTTCTAAACTGCCTCAAAGCCCATGTTATGAGAACACTGTGGCTGAGAGAGCGAAACGTTTCTGCCTCTACTGTGTCTACTACGTGAGCCTGGAATTGAAAAATGCATTTACAGGCAGGCATTTCACGAAGAAATCTGATTTTCCACCCTACAGCTATTTGATTTCACAATCTGAGCAACGTCCTTTGAATGGAGGATTCCTGGATGGACGTTCTGTCTCCTCTTTCTAAGCAACCCCGTCAAGGCTAATCCTGCTGTCCTGCACTAATAATTTCCCAATTTCCATCCAAGGGTTTCGAAACACGATGTAAGTCTTCACTAATATTTTTCAAATTAACTAACCAGTGTTTTTGAAAAGCAGGTTTTGTGCTTATTTCTAGGAATACATGCAGGGCAGAGCCACCAGGGCTGTTAAATTCACAGCATCCTTTGCTGTGGATGTGTTACATTTTGGATCAATCCTGGGTGTTTCTAGGGCTGAATTAGGGTGGGATGAACTGGATGAACAGCTCTACGTAGGTTAAAAAACTGAGCCTTATATTTTAACTCAAAACTCACCTGTTTCACCTTGAAGTGGGATTGTAGGGATTTCTCTGACAGTTTAATACTATTTGTAACCTATCAGGAAATCCCACACATGTCCAAATATTGGGCTGTACTTGGAAGGAGTATTAAACACGAGAAAATCACTTCAGGGGAGGTAGAACAGTGCTGATCAGATTTACAAATCCTGCTCCATCAGAACTTGTGCACTAAAATATCCCAGTGGGTTCTGCACCTCCAACCTCCTCCTGCAGCCTGGGGGTTGGTTCTGCTGCCCTGAAAATCCACTGCCATGCTCCTGGGTGCTTGCAAGGCACCTGGGATTTGCTGGAAGTTTTGCCTGAATGAGGACAATGTGGTTTGGTCCCACTTTTTCATCCCCAGGCTTTGCAATCTCCCCAGCCAGTTTGAACTTGGGGTATTAATAGAAATACAAAAGCTCATAAAGTGCAAAATCACTTCAGCCCAGCTGAATGACTGTCTGAGGCATCACGAGGGTCACATATTACAGTGAATTAGAAGTGTATCCAATGAGATTAATGCCCAAACATTTTTTCCAAGTGCAACAGGGACGCCCCAGAGGTGCCACTGATTTGTGTCCCACGCACCTGCTGGAAGAGGAACATGATGTGGATCCACAGGGGAGGCTGACGGCTCACCAGGGTGAAGCTGGACTTGCTGTACAAGCAGTAATGGCCCTTCAGGGGACAGCTGAAGAACAGCTTTGCTACACAGCTTCTGACAGTGTCTGGGGAGAAACATGAAGCACATTAAAATCACCCACAGAAATGAGAGAAACCAAAGTGCCCCTTCCCAGGGCAGGTGTGGCCACGCAGTGTGTGGGCAGACAGCTCCACTTTGGGGGTCACTCCTTGGCACTGCTGTGTCTGCACCCCCAAAGCAAGAGAGAAATTCAGTCTAATGGGGCTTTTTTGTTACCTCCAACAGTGGTGCCATTTTATAGCCCCTGTGAACGGGAACAAGCAGCTCTCCAAGGGAAAAAGGCACGGAAAAGAAAAGGAGGAGCTCCTTAGATGATGACCTGGATGCTAATGCAGGAGAGAGCTGCAGGCTCAGCACACGTGTGGGGGGATGGACTGGGAAGGGGTCTCAGAGCCAGGACTGTCCTGCAGCCCCCCCAGGGTGAGTCACCCCCAGGACCAGCTGGGCAGGGGCTGACTCACAGTCTCATGCTGCCCTGGTGAGTCACTGTGAGGGGAAGGTGGAGGAATAAAGTGCTCTAAGGAAACCTCCTAACTGGAAAAATGAGCTGTGACTTTTCAGCAAACGTGGCTGACGGGAGGCGGTTTCTGGACCTGCTGACAAGAGGAGTCAGCAGCAAGGGAGGCTGAGAGCACGAGGCAGCCTGGCTGTCCAGCCACAGACCAGCTTGGAACACTTGGTTTCAACATTTCCATCTAACCAAGATGTGAAAGCTCGGGAAAGAAATTAAATAAATGCAGTATTTCACATGAAATCATGACATATGAGGAATGAGTTTACCAGAGGTACAAAGGGATGGGTCGCCAGAACAAAGTATCAGTGGTCAAATTGTCACTGAAAATGCAGAAAATTCAAAACTAGGGTGTTGGAATCTGCCAAAAATGCTACAGAGAGGCCAGAAGGCCGGGAGAAAAACCAGCCTGGGAGGCTCCAGCCTCTGGTAACAACGGAGAAAAGGTGCCCAGTGCCAGGTGGGACTGGGAATCAGAATCTCAGAATGGTTTGGGTTGGGAGGGACCTGAAAGCTCCCTGCCATGGGCAGGGACACCTTCCACTGTCCCAGATTGCTCCAAGCCCCGTCCAACCTGGCCTTGGACACTTCCAGGGATGGGGCAGCCACAGCTTCTCTGGGCAACAAGGGGGTGAAGGAGGTTCCTAAATACCACAGAACAAAAAATTACAAAGATGTGTGGAGAGACACAAACCCTTAAGAAATTGCTTAGCAAGACTTTGTGGATGACACTGAGAAAGGTTCTGAGGCTGAGAACATGTGCCAAAATCGACATCAGCTCCAGCACCAGAGCCAAGGTTGGCTGAGCAGGAAGTTCCTGGAAAAAAGCAGCCTTGATTTGTCAATACCAAGGGCAAAAAGCCTCCAGCCCAGACAATCTGCAAACCTCTGCCATGAGAGGGGCTGTTACTCACAGCTGTTCCTGCTGCTGGATGTGCTGAGTGTGGCAATGTCTGAGAACGAGCCCAACTTGCTACGGGTGTTTTTCAACCGTTTGCAACGAACTACCAGTTCCAACACACAAGAGCTGATCTCAGTTATCCCAGTGTCAGCAGAGTCACAGAATCGTGGAATGAGTTGGGTGGAAAGGGACCTTAAAGACCATCCCATTCCACTCCCCTCCCCTGGGCAGGGACACCTTCCACTGTCCCAGGTTGATCCAAGCCCTGTCCAGCCTGGCCTTGGACACTTCCAGGGATGAGAAGGAAAAAGGTGCATTTAAAATCATTGCAGTGTTTACAAATTGCTTGTAACTCAGTGTAATGTGCAGCTTAAGATATATTTTGGGCTTTCCTAAAACACAGGTGCATAAATGGGCTCAGTTCTAGGTAAGGTGTGGTTCACACTTCTCCCAGTCCATCATGGCAAGTTATATGAACACTATGGATCAAATGTCCACCTTGAGTAATCCTCATGGATTTCAGAGATAAGGCAGAAATAATTCAGCATAAAAAGGCCTATTCACAACAAACCAAAACATTTTTGGTAGGAAGGACAGAACCAAATCACTTGCAGCCTTGAGTTAGCAAAAAAGGTAAAAAGAAAACAATCCCAGGCTGGGAAGGTGGAGACAACTCAGTTCCCTGAATCCCTCTGTAATTCCATTACACGTAACTGCACACCCTAAATTCACCTGGTAAGGAAAGATTAATTGGGTCCCAGGAAACTTTCAGGATATCAGTAAGATACAACACACAGGGTCCTGTCACCAGAACCTCCTTGCTCTGCAACTGCTCCCCCAGCACGAGGCACGTCCTGGCGAGTGCTGGTGATCCAGTGGTGACTAAAGGTCCTTTTGATGTGATTTAAAGCAATGAAATCCAAATTATGGTCAAGATGGATCTGCAGCTCTTTAAAATAAATGGTCAGAAGCATGTAAGGGAGAGAGGAAGGAAAAATTAGCTGACTTCCCCAAGGGCATTAAGCCTATTATGTTGGTCACATTTAAGCTACACTTTTACAGGCTTTAGTACCAGTTTTGTACTCTAAAAACTCCTGTCAATTCTAAATCCTGAAAGCAAATTTGAAGGAGGGTTTTTATGCCAGCCTCTGTTTCCCCGAGTAACCTGTCCCATCTGACCTGAATTAGGATTTGTGGAAACACTCTTTATTTCATTCCCTGGCTCTGTGACTGGAACAGCACTTCTGCACTGCAGGGCTCAGAGAGGGGGAGGCTGAGGAAAAGGGAATGACAAAATCCCAGAGAGAGACTCGTCTCGTGGCTGTTTTGGGTGTGAACTCTGGAGCTGGACCATGGATACGATGGCTTTGCCTGGGCCAGGACAATCCCTGGCACCTGTCAATGCACCAGAACATACTGATGGGGAGGAGAGGGGGTCCCAGCCTGTGACCCCCACCCAGGTGGAAAGGAGCCCAGGCTGGACCTCCCCTGTCTCAGCCAAGGGGCTCTGTGCAAGGTGGGTTTATGGGGTGAGAAGTCTGTGTGAGCGGCTGAGATCTCATTTGGACTCAGCAAAGGAGGGGAGTTCATGGCTCTGCTTCATCTCAGCAGCACCAAAGCCAAACCTCTGGCTCAGGGTCTGGGTAACACTGAGCAGGCACAACAAAGGCCTGTTTTATCCAGTTACTTGGAATTATCCCTATGGATGAGCACCTCAGAGCAAACCTCAGCCAAGGCGTTGGAGGGCTCTGGGCATCCCTGCACTCCAGCAGCTCCTCACCTCACATCCCCCAGGCACTGGACCTGCTGCACCCCCGTCCTGCTCCCCTGCAGCGCTGGCAGCACCAGCTGGGGACACTTGGGAACATCTTCTTCATGAAGGGCAAGTCTATAGGATCGTGGAATGGTTTGGGTTGGAAGGACCTGAAAGCCCATCCTGTTCCACCCCCTGCCATGGGCAGGGACACCTTCCACTGTCCCAGGTTGCTCCAAGCCCCGTCCAACCTGGCCTTGGACACTTCCAGGGATGGGGCAGCCACAGCTTCTCTGGGCAGCCTGTGCCGGGGCATCACCACCTTCCAAGTAAAGAATTCCTTCCCAATATCCCATCTATCCCTGCCTGTGGCAGTTTGAAACCACTGCCCCTTGTCCTGTCACTGTCTGCCAAGTTCTCCTCCTTCCTCAGCCTGGCTGGGCTTGGCTTGGAAGGAGAGTCCAAGTAACACAGGAGAAGGATTCTAGAACATGAAGAACACGTGAGCAGCAACACAAGACACAAACCAACCCCATACAGGCACCAAATGCCCAGATGGCTGGTCAAGATCCCCAAGGAAATGTTCCTTATTCAAGAAACATTCCCACCTCTTGGCAAGTCTCTGAATTCTAGCAAGAGAATAAGCAACAACTTGTTTTTCCTACAGGAAACAAGAGAATATATGTTGCAATTTTAAAGTTCACAACTAAGTGATTGTGCCTGGGGAAAAAAAGAACAAAATAAAACCAGAAGAACGTCAATAGAGCTGTTAATTGTTGCTTATTCCAGCTCCACACGCTGTGCTGAACCAGGAGGGTACAGAGTCACTGATTCTGGGAACAATCAATGCATTATTTGATTTGCATTGGTAATCCTTCACTGTTAAATAAAATCTGTTAATAGGAGGAGAAGTATGCTCATAAATTTCCTAAATAGAATCAAACCCACACATAAGCATGGAACCAATAAGAAATGGATATGACTTTTTAAATTTTGGTTTTAAGCTTTTTCGGCTTCCTCAGTTTCCTTTGCCTGATCTCTTCGGTTTGGGTTACACAAAGTATGCAAACAATAAATACATTTATAGGAGAAAAGGGTAATTTTTAGAGCAGCCAGCTTCAAGAAGCGCTGATTTATATTGTTTTTACCACTGCTAGCTTTGTGTGCATGCCTTAACTTCGTCCAGCAGATTTCACCTCCAGTAAGTTACACAAAACTCAAGGGAGAAGGCAGGGCTGGGATGGGACAAGGTACAACAATGCACTCAACACACAGAGCCCAAACTCTGGCAAATCCAGAAGCTCCGAAGTCATGGACTCACAGACTGGTTTGGGTTGGAAGGGCCCTTGAAACTCATCCCATCCCATCCCATCCCATCCCACCCCCTGCCACGGGCAGGGACACTTTCCATATGCCAGGTTGCTCCAAGCCCCAGCAAAGTCCAAGTGCTCCTGTTTATGGCCCCGCCCACCAGGAGTCTCCCAGGCAAAGCCCATGTTCCAAGTGCTGCTTCCAGGGCAGGAGTGACACACCCAGGGTCTGTCACCACTTGTGTGGGGGCAGTAGGTTCAGAGCTGTCCCTGTTCCCGTTACTCTCCCCGGGGAGTTTCCCGGTCTGACGAGGACCACCGTGAGCACGGGGGCCATCCCGAGTGTCAGCACACATTCCCACTGCCTGCCCTCCCGGATGGGATGCCTTTGGAACACCAGCCCTGCAGAACTCAGAGCCAGCTCCTATTTGCTGTGGCCCAGTGGCCCCAGCACCGCTCTCTGGGAACGCTCTCCTGAGCCTGCACAGCTCTGTGATCCCACTGAAGGACCAGAGGCCCAGCTGTTCCAAATCAACGCTGGGCTCATGGAATGCTGGAATTCCTCAGGCCGGTGCAGGGTGAGCACTGCAGGGGAGCAATGAGCCTTTCCATCCACACCGTCATATGGTCCCGATTACCTCCCGGTACCCCATAAAACATAATAACTACCAGATTTAGGGCCAGCACGCTGCAACCTGTTTCCCCTGCTGCCTCCTCCTCTTTCAGCATTCTGTCATTAATCCCATGAAATGTTTGCTGGATATTTTCCCTCCCGAATGGCACCGAGGAGCCAGCAGTGACTTACTGCTGGAAAAAGGCTCTAATACTTTTCACTGGAGCACGTTGTGTTTGAACGTGGCTGCAGTGACCAAGGGTGGAATCATTCCACGATCTCCCTGGGCTCGAAAGGAGGCTGGGCAGGCTGGAGATGGCAAATCCCTCAGCATCCTCAACACACAGATATGATCAGGTGCTTCCTTCCAACAGGTCACTCGACACTCAGAGCTCTGGGCTGCTGGCATTAATGGGGGCGTTTTTATCCAAATTAGTCAAAAAGCAACCAGAACTACAGTGGAAAACATTTCCCTCATTATAAGCAAACCCAGCAGCTGTCCAGGCCTGTGTCTGGGAATCATCTGAAAGCAGTCCCTCCCAATGGCAGGATACACATGGCCATGGATCTGATCCACCATCCCGGTGCATCTGGGAAACAAGAGCGGGTCAAAAGTCCTCTGACCTGTAGGGGGTCAAGGTGAGAGCCAGCAAGGCTGGGGCAGGTGGGGCTGCAGCTGCTCCAGAGCTCTGTGCTGCCTGCAGGGTGACGGGGGCCACACCAGGTAAAACTGGGAGGACTCAGCTCCCACCTGGGTGCTGTGCCCCTCCCAAAACCAACTCTGGCAGGTCTTAACACCAGTAATCATAGAAACATCAGAGAACCACGGAATGGTTTGGGTTGGAGGGACCCTGAAGGTCACCCAGTGCCACCCCCTGCCACGGGCAGGGACACCTTCCACTATCCCAGGTTGCTCCAAGCCCCGTCCAACCTGGCCTTGGACACTTCCAGGGATCCAGGGGCAGCCACAGCTTCTCTGGGCAACCTGTGCCAGGGCCCCCCCACCCTCAGACCAGGTAATAACAACACCTGATACAGGGATTCCATCTTGCACCAAAGCCTTTCAAAGCAACTTCAATCACCACCGGCCCCACCTCCCCAGAAGGGTTTGGGAGACATGGAAAAACAGGAGGGCTGAAGGACCTGTTGGACAGCACCGAATAAAACCAGTGGGGAAACTGGGGGACCTTGATCTCAACCACAGGGACCCCAGTCCCACTGAGGCAGCAGAAATCCCACCCAGTGCTCACTGAACAGCAATAACCAACCTTGGGAGAACTCAGGAATTTCCTGAGGCACGGCCTGGGCCTCTGGAATCTGCAAGATCCTGGGGGTACCGATAAGATACGGGATCACAAACCATCTGGAAAAATATGGGCTGATAAAAACTATTTGCTTAGCTCCATGAAAGCTGAAGGGTATGACAAATATGGTGGGTTTTTTCCCTTTTTTTTGAGGAAAAGATCCCGAGGATTAAGGGGATTAAAGTGATAAACATGATGTAAAAGAATTCCTCAAACTGCTGAAGGTATGGCAGAGATGTGGATCTGGGCACAGTGCTTCAAACTAAGCAGGGACTGACTCAAACCATCAGCCCCAAGCTGAAACAAGCTCAAATAAATGGATTTTTGTGGGTTTGGGTTCCTTCTTTCTGCCCCAGCTCAAATCCCCTCTCTGACTGCAGTGTTGTCCCAGGAAATTCACTTATACACGTGAGTCTGGGGAGCTGTTGGAGCTTCTCTGCTCTTTGAAACACCTTCAACTTGGCCATTTTCTTAGGGCAAGACCTTCTGGCCAACAGCCCAGTCCTAACCGTGCTCCTGCTGCAGGATCATCACCCCATTCACACCCTGCCTCTGCCCAAAGCACATCCAGCCAAAAATAGCAACTTTTAAATGAGATAACAGAGCTGACATGGCAATTTTTCAATGTCTTTATGAGGCATCTTCAAACTGTCACAGACAGTTCACGGATCCACCCTGACAGTTCTTCACCTGCCTCCCTTCAGAGCTGTAAAATCCAACACTTCAGCTGATATTACATCAACTGGGACATATCATATAAATCCAACAAGCTTGTAAGTCAACAAGGAGACTGAAAATCACAGCCTGCAAAGCACAAATGTTCTGCGAGGGTTAAGACCTGCACAGCAAATGCCTGACTCAATTGTAAAAAAGCCAATTTGCAAATCACAGACAATTTTACAGAGCAGAGGAGCCTATTTTGTGTGTTTTGAATTTGCTTCTGACAACTTCAGAGAGTGTTCTCCAGCACCTGCACCAGGGCAGACGGTGAGCCACCCTCAGTTAATGCTCTGCCATTCGAGACACTGCCAATCTCCATCAGCCCTCTCTTTTCCAGACTGAGGAGTCTCCAGTTTTCTTCACATGGAGGTCTCTGATTTTCTCCTTTATCCTCCAAATTCAGGCTCCAGTTAATGCAGACAACAACAGACCGGTTTGGGTGGGAAGAGACCTTGAAGACCACCCAGTTCCAACCCCCTGCCATGGGCAGGGACACCCTCCACTGTCTCATTAGTGCCCAGACCTGACAGGGTTCCTACATGAGAATTCTGGATACACCCCAAGGCCCCCAGGCCTCTGTCCTGCCCAGCACAGGATCCTTTGGAGATGCCACCCAGCCTGGGTGCTGAGCAATGAGGAACTCACCCCCCTCCCAGACAGTCTGCCCCAGCCACCACCACCACCAGAAATGTGAGCAGGGGGTGGAATTCTGGTTAAGGGAACAGAACTTGGCCCATCATCCCTTAGGAATTCTTACAACTGACATGAACACTCTGTTGAGCTCCAGGAGCTGCCCCTTGAAAGGCCAGGAAGGGCCTGAGTGAGGAAAGGCTGCGTGGGGAACGTGCACTGCCCTTCTTTGCTCACCACAGGGCTATTTCCTTGCAACACACTTTGCCACTAGTTCCTTCAAATACTCTGTTTCATGAGGCATTGCTCAGCAGTTCTTATCTTTTCACATTTTTCACGTCTTGCATATCAAATTTCCAGCTCAGATTCCTCCACGACCAACAGAAAATTAGCCAACTGGGATATGAATATTTTCTAATTATTTTTTTCCCCAAAACATCTTATTGAAAAGTAAACCACACATCTGAATGGGCCTTGTTCGAGTTTAGGAATCACTGAAGTCCAAGAACTGCAAGTTTTTGGAGTGGTTAATGCAATATCTGGAATATTACCCAAGCTGTCCCCCGTGCACTGAGCCAGGCTGCATTTCTTCAGCAAATTTAGAATGAGTCACATAAATCTCCTGCTCTGCACATGTGTCCCTACTCAAAGAATTTTCCTAAGAATGCTAGTTGAGGATTTTCAGGAAATTACAATAGTTTGAATGAATTTAGAAACAGTCCCATGCTTGGGATGTATCATAGTAGGCACTGCAGAAAGGAAGCTGAGTAATACATTTAAAATATTCAATATATGATATTTGATTAATGCAGGGTCATAACACTCAGCCCTTCAAAAGGCAGGCTGTTCACTCTCATGTTTTCACTACCATTTTATGGAAAAAAAATTATCATAATTCTACCAAATAACTATTTCAATCACTAAACCTGGAATTTAAGACATTTAGGAAACTCTCCAGAAGCATAAGCTTTCAAAATATATATAATTATATTCTTTTTGTGAGTGGAAACTGCTTTTCCACTTCTTGACCACTGAAAAAGAAATAAATATTTTATCAACTTAAGTTGCTATTTGTTGGAGCTGAAGTTGTGTTGTATTAGATGATGATGTTTTAAGGGATTGAACATTAATTTAACTTGTGGAATCAGATACTGTTTGGAATCAACCCTTGAAGGCTGGGCTGTATAGCTCAGGGCCACCAGTGAGTGGTTGGATGCACAGAAATTCAGGTTAAAGGGGATAAGCAGGAGGATCCCAACCCATCCCAAAGTACTCCCTTCAAAGAGGAGGAGGACCACAGACCCATCTCACCCACCTCCCCCACAGCCTCACAAAACCACCTCCCTCTCCTTTGCAAACAAACACCTGCCCCTGGTGAAGGCAGCAAACCCAAACCAGCCCCGGGGACGTGGGAGATGGGATCCCACCCAACCCAACCTGTGGGAGATGGGATCCCACCCAACCCAACCTGTGGGAGATGGGATCCCACCCAACCCAACCTCCGGGAATCTCATCCTGCTGTGCCTTCCAGGAGTTGTGTGTCTGGGCTGGAGTGTTATTTCATAAAACTGATATTCCTCCCTGTCCACGAGGCCTGTGCTGGAGAGTCTTTGCTGCCCATTTGCTCAAACCCTGAGAGGAATCTCAGTGGAGTGTTAAAGTCTTGGAATGGGAAAGGCTCATCCCGCTTACCTTCGATCACACACTGGTCAGGGATAGGAATTTTCCTCCCCATCTCTGTCACATATTCCTTCACTTTACCCAGGTTTTCCTTCAAGTGCAGGTAGAGCTTATCCTGGTATTCCACAGGTGCTGCCTCTGCACTTCCTTCCAGGGCCTTTTCTTGAGTGGATTCCGCCAAATCTGCTGATTCCGGGTAATCGACACTTTGGTGTGACACCAAGGAATTTCCCAGTGGCACCGCCTCAGGATCCACCCCAAAGGGCAGTTTCTCGTTGTCCTGGCTGATGTAGATCTCGGTGAAGGAGATTCCAGCAGGGACCTCCCCGCTCTCCTCGTCCTGCCCCCCCTCCGAGCTCGGCCCCTTGGTGCGCAGGGCGTGCAGGGCGAGGCTCTTGGACCTGCAAGGGGGGCAAGGAAAGGAGAAAGGGTTTGGAATAGAGGTAGGGCACCAAAACCACCCCAGGCCCTGCTCTGCCCCTGTGCAGCTGCCTCAGAGAGCCCAGCCCGGGGCTCACTCAGCCAGAGGCAAAGATCTGCTGGGGAATAAGCATTTCAAGAGCCAAGCTCAAGCCACAGCTTTAATAAGCAAAGGAAACTAAACAATATCTATATATCCCAACATCTGCATTCCATGGGTTCCCTTGCAGAGGGAACCTCTCTGCAAGGGTCTTATAACCCCAGGAGTGGTGTGTCTGCCTTATTGATCACACCACAAAAATGCCATCCAGCAGCACTTCTCTGGTGCAGGGCTCAGCCTGCAGCTCGTCCTGCCCTGGGATGGGGGGAAGAGTCAGGGGGGTAGAAGTGACTCAAAGGGCAAGTCCTGGAGCAGGAAGGGCAGAGGTCTGTGGGAAGCTGCTGTGCAGAGGCAGCCTAAGGGCACACTGGGTGCACACTGTGTCCTTCGATGTGCATTGTTAGTAACAACACCCCAAAAAAGGTCTCTGTACCCTCCTTTCCCTGATTTCTCTGTGCAGTTATTGTCCAATCCCTTGTGCTGTTTTAGGGCACACAAGAGATTAAATGGGTTGCCCAGAGAAGCTGGGGCTGCCCCTGGATCCCTGGGAGTGTCCAAGGCCGGGTTGGACAGGGCTTGGAGCAACCTGGGCTAGTGGGAGGTGTCCCTGCCCATGGCAGGGGTGGGACTGGATGGGCTTTAAGGTCCTTGCCAACCCAAACCATTCCATGATTCCATGATTAAGAAATATTTCACCCAGCCTTTGACCTCATGGATATGAGACTTGGCTAAAATTAGGCTGATGATGCCCGTAGGGATCATGCAAATGGACCAAATCCTCATTGTCTGGATAAAGTTTATGGCAAAGCTGATATCCATGAACCCCCTGACACATTTTACAGAGCCATACCTGTTAAATCTCATATCCTTCCTTTCTTCTTTGGAAACCTGGCCCAGGCTGTATCTCCTCACTGAACCAGGAGTGCTGTTGTCAACATTTATTTTCTCTTCAAAAGCCTGGATTTTGACTTGAAGTTTTTCATCTTCCTCATTTCCATCCACGACAGATTTTAAGTCCTCCAGCGGTACAGGAGGTTCTGTTTCGGTGTCCTTTTCCACCCTAAGGAAGCAGAGAGCAGAGATTTACCCCTGGCCCACTGTTCACAGTGATGCTGATGCTGCTTTTCTGCCTGTGACCTGTATCGTGGATCTGGTAAAATAAATATGTTTTAGCAGAGATTCCCTTAGATTATTTTCAGGAACATCTTCTAGATGAATGTCTCTGATGGATCAGAAACACTGAACATCTCTGACAACCCTGGATTAGAAACTCCATGTGCTGTATCTCCGTAAGCAAATCACAACTCTTCCTGACTGTCCATTGGAGAAAGTTTTTCATCCGAACTCAAACCATCCTCCCAAGCTTGCAAGACACTGACTTATTACATAATTTTCACAAAGCAAAAGTCAAGCAATTTTCAGAGTTTATAGAACTCTGTGGTTTTAAATGTTTGACCGAAGTACATGAAGTTCTTACCGAATTACTGCACCCTGAGTAAGAAAAATATAATTTAAAACTCAGCAGAAACAGGCTCAGGAAAAGTTCTAAGCAATGTCACTGTAGTTCAGGAATGAGAAAATGAAGAGTTAAAATGAACAGGACAAGTAGTTTTGTTTTAAATTTGTCATGTCAGTCTTAAAATCCCAGAATTAAGGATTCTTAGAATGGTTTGGGTTGGAAGGGACCTCAAAGCCCATCCAGTGCCACCCCCTGCCATGTGCAGGGACACCTTCCACTAGCCCAGATTGCTCCAAGCCCCATCCAACCTGGCCTTGGACACTTCCAGGGATCCAGGAACAGCCACAGCTTCTCTGGGCAACCTGTGCCAGGGCCCCTCCACCCTCTAACTAGAGGAATTTTAGAGAACTAAGGGGTCCTGGACAGTATTTACTTTTTAAACTCTACCCACAGCTTTAAACAAAGTTTGTTTTGTTTCTGATCATTTCTTTGTTTGATTTTCTCTTTTTTTTTTTTTTGTATGTTTCCTGATGAACAAACATCTGAATAGCTAAATCTGTAAAATCTGGATATATAAAACCACAAATGAGAGTTTAACACAGCACTTCCAAAGCAGCAGAGTCTCAACAAGTCACGCTCACAGTCGGGGGGCCCATTAAAAACTCCCCAAACTGCAAATTACCAATTGTACAAAGCATGTTTTTAAAGAAACAACCAGAAATACTGCAGCACAAAATGCACTTTTTCATTTGTTTTGATAAAGGCAGCTCAGGATATTTCTCAGGGGAGCTGGCGAGTTTTGTCTTGTTTTTAATTTAAGCAAGATCTCGTAATATATTAACACCGAGGAGCACTTTAAAAATATTCTTCTGTAATAAAGAACCTTGATATGACCTTTGCTAACAAATCTTTCTGGGGATGTAGGACAAGATTTAATTTATGGGGAAGCTGTCACTCCAACAGGACTCCCAACACTGCTCCCATTGTGGGAGCTGAGCGCTAAGGAAAACGTCTGTTCCATATGGAAATACATGGAAAGCCTCTGCTCACAGAGAGGGGATTGATGGACTGGGGGGGGGTTGTGAATGACAGACCCAAACCAGGAAGCCTTGATGAAGTTTGGAAACAAAAATGGTGTTTTAGAACAGCACCTCTCTTTGTCCAGTGTTCTCCTGTTGGGCTCCGATGGCTTCGGGAAGGGAATACAAGGAAATACTTCTCCTAAAGGATCATGGAATTGTTAAGGTTGGAAAAGACCTCAGAGAAACATGTTAATGAATCCTACTTTCCACATGTGGAGCAGAAAGAAGTCACTCCTCAGGGTGTGGAGGGTGCAGTTCTCACTGCCTGGTGCTCCTCAAGCCACCACCTGGTTTTTGACCCTGTTGGTGCCCAGGATTTTGGAGCAGGGGAGCAGGAGGGATCCTGAGTGCCCATCCCTGGGGACCATCTGCTCTCACATGTGCCAGCTTTGCACTCCCACCACTCCCTGGGGAAGCCACGAGCACCAGCCCCAAGCAGGATGTTCAGAGGGGGGGGGCCTGGCAGCCCTTCCTGCTGGGCCCCCTCCCAGCCCCTGCAAAACAAACCATTGTTTGAAATCTTGGCAGGAGGCTTTGGGGACATTGCTGAGGTTGCTGAGCAGGATCAGTTTACACCCAAGCTCAGCCTGTTTTCAAGATGCACGAGCTTGTGGAGGAACCACAGTGACCTGCCCTGAGAGATGGCACCAGGCTGCTCATCACTTCAGGCTTTGAGATTCCACGTGCAGAGAGAGCCCAGTGCACAGGTCACCAGTTCAAGGGTGGTACATGAGTATGAAGGATAGGAAGGACATTTTTCCAGACCATTATCAGCATCAGAAATTGAGTTGCAGGGAAAAAGAGCATCACAAACAGAGATGGCTAAAAATACACTCGAGGTGTATTTTAACCAAGCCCTGGTTGCTGCCAGGGCTTCACCTCTGAGGGGATGGAGGTAGCAAGAATGGGTTAATTGTGGGTCCTTGTGGTTTGCCACTGGACAGACATAATCACTGATCACCTCCTCAGGCAGGACAGAGGTTTGAAGAAGGCAAGTGGTGGAGAAAAGATCATGGAATGATCAGATTGGTTTGGGTTGGAAAGACATTAAAACCCACCCAGTGCCACCCCCTGCCATGGGCAGGGACACCTTCCACTAGCCCAGGTTGCTCCAACCCGGCCTTGGACACTTCCAGGGATCCAGGGGCAGCCACAGCTTCTCTGGGCAACCTGTGCCAGGGCCTCTTCACCCTCTGAGTAAAGAACTTCTTCCTTGTACCTAATCTAAATCTCTCCTCTTTCAGTTTAAAAGGTAATTTCATGCAGCCACGACACTGAGATGGGCAGCATTGGTGGAGCCAGGTGTGCTCAGTTCTTACCCAGATGCAGGGCTTGGAAGTGTCTCCAAATTTCCTTCCTTGCCTTTTTTTAATTGACTACACTACACTCCTAGGCTGGATAAGTCCATTAAAACTCTATATGTTCTTAAAAAGCACCTCTGAGGCTGAATAACTTGCAATTTTGTGACAGTAAGGGGCACCAGAGCATGGCCTGGTTTTAATTATGCTTTGCACTCCCTGCATGTAAAATTCCCTGGGTCAAACAACCCCGAGCCAACCGTGGCTCCAAAGGAATCGGCTTCCTCTTATGTAAACACCCGAGTTTTGGGAGGAATGGTTATAATCCAGCCACACATTTTAAAACCCTATTTCCCCTTCACAGCACAAATACTCTGGATTGCTGCTCCTTATAAACCTCTGAGTTCAGTGGCTGCAGCAGCTCCAGAGCCGGGAGGGCATTTCCATGCCAACATCTGGACCAGTCCCACTCACCAGGCACAAATCAGAGTAAACTCATCTTAAATCAGCAGAGAACTCTCATGTTAGCCTTGTCTGATTGAGCTGATCCTTTGCTCCACACAGGCCTGAAACGTAAAACCAAAGAGCTAAAAACTGTAACTGTGAAAAATCGGGGGTTTGCTGTGATCTCTCCCAGACACGTTGAGACAACACAAGGAGCAAGAGGGCTGAGGAGGGAATAAAATTTAAAATCAATAAATAAGTAAATAAAATCAGGGAGCAGATGGAGAATAAAAAAATCATCTGTAACCACACTCATGAAGACGACGAAGCTTCTTCTCCTTGGCAAAGCAAGTCCTTAACAAAGGGGATTTTAGAGAGAAGCAGGGAAACACAGTAAGGTTTTAATGAAAACCTTCTCTTGTTTTTAAGTGTTGTTTTTTTTTTATCAGCTCTATAGATAAATGTTAAGCACAGAAGATAATAAGGAGTAGGAGTATGGGAATATTTTAACAAATAAAGTAATTTTTCAGCCATAAATTGAGGGACCATGATGGGTTGTATAAATTATTACTGGGCCTCAATCCCTGTCCTGCTCCTCTGCAGGTCCCAGAATACATGACATCCCTCTGGTCCCTTAACCAAGCGACATCTGGCTGCCTCTTTTTTCCAGTAAACTTGGCTAGTTTGGAACAAGTGTGTTGTTTCATGCTCACTCTGTTATCTCCACTTGGCTTTGGCATTATCTCCAAGGATATTTTTCATAAACGAGTGCCGAGGGCTCGTTTCCACCAAGGGCTTTCCCACCAGGTGAAGTTTGGACATTTCTCACAGCCCTGCAGTAAAGGGAGGGACTCTCTCCTGGTTCCTTTTTCATTTTTAACTCTCTCCAGGACACCAATTACTTGTTTCTCCAATGACCTCAGTGTTTTGGCTCCAGCGCTCCCAGCCTGGCTCCAAGGCTGTCCTTCATGGTTATGGCTTTTCTGACATCTGGGTTACATTTTTCCACAGAATCACTATTCCTTTGTGCCCTCGTGACCTGTGTCAGCATACACAACTCTAATTATGAGTCCCTCACTAATTAAAAGTGACTACCACCGTGTATTTAAATAACACTTACATTCTCACCCTGAGGAACGCCGCAACGCTCCCAGCCCTCCAACCTTAGGATACACACTCAGAAGCAGCTGAATGAGCAGAACATCTCTTTGTAGATGCCTGAGAAATTTTTTCCAGCCTGTTCTTAGGCAAACCTTTACCAGGGAGTTAAGCCAGTCATTGTTCTCATCACCCTCAGCGGGTATTTTCTAGAAAAACTCAACGATAACTGTGCGGGCTGACTTCCCTGGTTGATTTTTGACTGTGCTTATCTGAGACGTGGCTTTTTTCATGGCAATTCAAATAGATTTAATATGAATTTATGCTGCCTCACACGGCCCTGGAGGGGCTTTGCCACACAAACACTACCTGGCTCCTGGTGTGCTGTCAGCCTCGAGCTGCCGGACGAGGAGCTTGGCTATGGCAGTGAAGCTGTTGCTCATGCGATAAATGTCCCTGCTCTGGGGGCCCAGGATGCTCGAGAAGGTGTCGGTGAGGCTCTTAATTTCCAGCAGCAGAATATGGTGAAATGAGTGCTCCATGTTGGCCAGCTGGTTCACCAAGTACAGCAGGCAGGTCCTGGCTCTCTCCTGGGCAACACGGGGAGATAAGAAGGGTTTTAAACACATTAATTCAGTGTTTGCTTGTGCAGGGAGGTTTGTGTGGTGCTGCCTGAGTCACTGTCCCTGGGGAAGAGTGGCTGCCCCACGATAACCAACTGTGCCTCAAACACAGTTTATTTGTGTGTGCTGCTACGTGACTTTTGTTCCTCTTGGTATTACCTAACCCAGCCTAACTCAGTACATCTTGTCTCCTCCTCAGACCTCGAGCCAGAGTCCCTAAAGGCCCTTTGAAGGGCCCTACATTCTTCTAGTTGGTAGGTCAGCCTGGCTCAGGACACCAGCAGCACTGAGCTCCCCTTTCATCTGTGCTGAGCCTGGCTCAGCTATTTCATCAAATCACAGAATGGTTTGGGTTGGGAGGGACCTCACAGCCCACCCAGTGCCACCCCCTGCCATGGGCAGGGACACCTTCCACTGGACCAGGTTGCTCCAAACCCCATCCAACCTGGTCTTGAAAAGAGAAAGGCACAGAAAAAGAGTGTAGGGAGGTGAAGCTGTGGCTGCCCCATCCCTGGAAGCATCAAGCGTGGATGAGCTGTAAGGTCCCTTCCGACCCAAACCAGTCTGGGATTTTATGATTTTCTGGACTCCTTTCTGGGCCTGTTGGGTGCTGCTGACATTTAGCAGTGTCACCCCAGGGTCTGTTGTCACCAGTGCTGCCCACAGAGAACGGGGCTCCTCCAGCACAGGGGGGCAGAGCAGTGAGGGGCAGGAGCTGGGGTCCTGTCAGCATCTCCTCTCCCTAATGGTGAGAGGTTAAAGGACCTCATAAATCACAGGGGTTCTCTCCTTCCACAGCATTTAGTTTAGGAGCAACACTCAGATTAGAGCCGTGACTGACAGCACAACAAAGAGAAGTTTAAATTGAGATTTCAGTCTAAGATGTCCTCACACGCTGCCTGGCACGGGCTGTCAGTCACTGCCAATGGCCTGGAGTCTGATGTGCCCTCTGCAGCCAAAATGTTCCCACCCAATTCTTCAGGGCAATGTGCTTTCCCCAGTTTATCAGCAGAGATCACATCCCCCGCAAATCAGCATTAAAGGGGGCTTGTTTCAGATCATAACATTAAACACGTAAATATTCTCTAGCAGAGACACTTTATCATCTCTGCCTGGCCAGGACACACAGCTCCAGTGCCAGCTGTTTGTGTGTACGTGTCCGAATTCCCATCCTAAACCAGAAGCTTGAAGGTGAAAATCACGGAATGGTTTGGGTTGGAGGGACCTTAAAGCTCATCTTGTTCCACCCCCTGCCATGGGCAGGGACACCTCCCACAGACCAGGTTGCTCCAAGTGCCACCTAACACCTCCAGAGATAGGGAACATCCAGCTTGACCTCGAGCACCTCCAGATCAGGGCTCCCCTGTTTTGTTATAGTTGTTCTAAGTACATTAAGTTCCACAGCCCTAAAAATATCTAAAAACCAGTGAAAAACCCAGCAATTAACTCAGGAACTCACATCAGATCCTCCGCTGGGTAGCCAGGTATGGCTTTGCTCAGGGAAACCCGGGATAAATGGGAAAAGAGCATCGGACAAACTGCTTCCCTTCAGCTGGGGGAAGGTCCAGCTACACCTCGGGCTGGGCTGATGTGACTGAAGGAGCTTTTTCCTCAGTGGCTTGAAAGAGGTTGACTTTTATTTGAAAGACAACCCTCCCCCCAAGAGATAAACACAGGCTCAATTAACATTTAAAACACATTTTTTTGTTTCCTAAACAAACTGTGCAGCAGACAAACTGGAGGAGCAGTTTTTGACCATTTTCCTGTCACTTTGATCCAGCTGGAGTGTCTCCAGCCTTGCTGAAATGCTGCTACTCGCCTGGAGTGAGGTAAAAGAACAATAAACTCCGAGTAACATAATATGTAACTGTTATACAAAACAAAATTACAGCAAAATAGCTCAACATGAAAGCAGTCATTATCCCTGCCCCAATTCTTATCCAAAATTCTTCAAAAAGCCTATTTGGATGTACAGAGCCCGTTGTGATTTTAACAGGGCTTATTTGATGTATTCATGTGTTTTTTCATAAGCAGCCCTTGCATTTTATGGCATTACATCTGCCAGAAGGTGAAGATCTAAAATACAAGCGATGAGGTGTGGCAAAGTGTTGTGCTTTAGCTTAAAATCAGGCTCAGGAGACTACAAAAAGAGATCACAAGGCTTTCAGAAGTCGGTTAAAACTCTCAGTTGGTTCAAAACACGCAGTTAATGGGAGAAAAAATACATTAAAATGTCCAATTGCCCTCTGCCCCAAGATGGTGTTTTGCTTTGCACAAATTCATGGTTAAGGGACAAGTTCTGATTTCAGCTTCACCCCTGAGACTGTCACTGACATCAGCAGAAGTGGGGGGCAACCTTTAGAATAAAGGGATCTCTCTTCAGCCAGAGCTCTCATCTCTCCAGGGGTCCCTCGGCACTGCCAAGGTGGACAGAGCGGCTCGGGGGCAGCACAAGAGGTTGTTTTTGGGAGCCAGCAGAAAGGATTTGCTGCTCACACCCACAATCCATACCACAGAGGGCCAAGCCTCGATCCTTGCCACCTCTCTTCCCCAAGCAGACCTTCCAGTGAAGTGAAACATCAGCAAATAAAATTCCAGCACTGCCATCGCTGTTCCCTTCCCCGCTTGTTTGGCTTGGCCGGGAGGGAGATGCCGAGTCACGCCTCGGAACGAGCAGCATTCCTGTGGCACAGCCCCGGGACAGGGAAGGGGAGAGGGGCAGGAGTGAGCACGGAGGGTTTCAGGAAGGCACTGGCACGGGGGGCTGAGACACGAGAGCAGCAGCAGCACTTGTGTGTGCAGGGACTGCTCTGCTGCTTCCCCTGAGCGGGACAAACAAAGTGCAGCAGTGACTGAGCTTTGCAGTGACACTGGAGATCAGAGTATCCTTTTAATTCATTCTCACTGCTCCACGGGAGCCTCTAAGATCTGCCCAGCTTTTATGATGCCAGATGTGGTTGTGCTTCTCTGCTGGCAGGCTGGCTGGCTGCCTGCCCTGCAGCGCCAGAGATCCATGGCACTGGTTTTCCTTTCCGTCACAGAGTCACAGGGTGGTTTGGGCTGGAAGGGACCTTAAAGATCATCCCATTCCACCCCCTGCCACAGGCAGGGACACCTTCCTTAGACCAGGTTGCTCCAAGCCCTGTCCAACCTGGCCTTGACAAAGAATCATCTCCTCTTAAAGGAGCAAGAAATGCCTCCAAGGCTGATTCCTGAGGACAGGTGAGACCACAGAATCATCAGATCTCCCAGGCTGGAAGAGATCTCCAACAACATCGAGGGATGGAGTGGGAAGAGCTTTAAAGTCCTTTCCAACTCAAACCACTCTAGGATTTTATGATGTTCCATAATTCAGAAATATCCACGACTTCTATCTTTTCAGGAAGCAAAACACGAGGGGAGCCATTTGTCCCCTGTTGGAATGTTCCCCTCTGCCACCCTTTGCCTGCTGCTTTTCTCCATGTTTTCAAGTCTCAAGTGCAAGGTCCCCTGGGTGTCACTGCACACACAGGACAAGGTGCCATTCCCCTGGACATGTGGCACTGGAATTGCAGCCTGCTGCTGTGTCAGCAGCTCCCTACAAAAATAAGAGCCAGGACACAAAGCCAGCTACTCAACACTTACTACAGATGAATTACTCATCTGTAGTACTACGTGTACCCACATAAACCAACAGATTAAAAATATAAGGAGAAAAGATTCTTCAAATCAAGTCTTTGTAAACTTTACCTCAGGCGACAATTTCCAATAACATATGAAATACAACCTGGCCAGTGGGTTCCCTGCTTATTCTTGGTGTTGGTATAAAACAATAACAACAACAAAAGGCAAAATAAATAAACTCAGCCCCTTTGAAGTAACAAACACGGCAGAAATGGAACCTCAGAGACGCTCATATGGGAAGAGCTGGTTCAACACACTAAAACACAGAATTAAATCCCTCAGTTCTGATCCCAGCTGTGCTCAGCTGAGGCTTAGCTGCTTATAAACTGTAAAGCTTCTAGGAGATGCTGACTCCTAAATATTAAATGCAGAATTGAACATGGTCACCTGCAGCTCTTGTAAAAGTCAGACTTGCTGGGGGGATGGAAGTAAACAAGGAGACAACAACAAGCTGTATTTGGCTCCCAGTCTTCCATGGGATTTTGGCTTTCCCCCCCACAACAGAAATGAGATTTACAAAGCCAAACCAAATCTGGTTTTGATTCTTATGAGATAAATTTAATTTTAAATGAACAAAAAGCTCAAGATCAGTAGAAACAGCAAGGGAAGTGTCTCCCTGGGCTGCACCCACAGTGATCAGACCCCCACGGCCTGGCCAATACACACCCAAAGTGAGATCCAAAGGGAAGGATGGGCCTTATGGCAACGAGGGAAGAGGTTGTGACATCCCCGCGTGCCAGTCGAGCTGTGGCACAGGCACGGAGCCAGCCACCAACTCCCAGCCCCAGGATTTAAGGGAATGGCTTTGATAAAGGGCCAAAAGAAACTGTTTTCTCTGGGGACAAAGGTTTCCCTGGGGATTCTCCACCACTGATGAACCCACAGTGTTGTCTGTGACTAAACACCTTCTCACAAAGGCCTGGAGGGACAGGACACAGGGAATGGCTTCAGACTGACAGAGAGTAGGGTTAGATGGGATACTGGGAAGGAATTCTTGGCTGTGAGGGTGGGGAGGCCCTGGCACAGGTTGCCCAGAGAAGCTGTGGCTGCCCCTGGATCCCTGGAAGTGTCCAAGGCCAGGTTGGACGGGGCTTGGAGCAACCTGGGCTAGTGGAAGGTGTTCCTGCCCATGGCAGGGGTGGCACTGGATGGGCTTTAAGGTCCTTCCAACCCAAACCATTCCATGATTCTGTGCCCTGGTAGGGCAGTCTGGCTACTTGTGAAGAAAGACATATTTAGATGTATCATTTTACCCAGGATGCAGAAAAGAACAACCCCCAAACCAACCTTTGTTTCCAAACTCACCTCATCAATGTGCCCAACAGCTCCAAAGATCTTTGCTGTTTGCCCAATCAGACCTGGGAAACTCTCCCCAACCTCCTTCAGCGTCGGCAGAAAAGGGGCCAAGGCTGTTGGTTCGTAGCTGGATATTTCTATGAGGATGTTTAGAATCAAGTCACTGTGGTTGGGGTCCCTCAAATGCCCAAATAAAAAGGGTAAACACTCTGTCAGCACCTATTAAAAAATCAGACAGAAACAAACTGAATATATATATTTTTAATTGGGAACACAAATAACCAAGAGAGATGTAACTGGAGTGATAAAAATAAACCACTAGACTTTGATTCTATAAAATAGTTTTCCACCCTTGCTGACCTTTGCACAGGGGTCAACCCAAGTTCAGCTCAACATATGGAATAAGGGTAAGTTTTAGCCTTGAAATATGGCAGTTATGCATAAATAAGTAAGGAAATGGCCAATTGTTTAAAAAAAAAAAAAAAAAATCAAAACCCCACCCTTATATTTCCCTCCCTCCAGGCCAGACTATATTTTATTGATTAAAACAACAGAAGACTCAGCCTTCCCCAATGATACAGTAAATTAAAGGACTTGCAGAAATTTTTGTTTCCATAGGAAACTAAAGGACATGACAAGGTCAAGAGCTGGAACAGAGGGGAAAACAAAGGGCAAGATCCTCACAGCCTAAAAAACATGCCATGGGTGAGCTGTCATTTCTTGTAAGAATCCAGTTTTGAGGAGGCCGAGGCTTAAAATCATCTTACAAACAGGATGGAGTGTTTACAACTCTGCACTGAGTAATTAATTCTTGTGTAAACACACATGCACACTAATGCACCTCAGATCCAATGGGACCTGCATCTGTGTGAAAGACATTTTGACACAGAAGTGGGGCATAAAACAACCCATTCTTATGGTTTTCCTTGTTGAGGATTATCAGTTCTCATCAGTTCCTAACTCATTTTAATCTTCCTTGACATGTATTTCAATACAGCTCATGTCCTCTGACAGAAACACAGTTATGGGAATTCACACTCCCATGGCAGAGGAAGAGCCAAAATCACTGAAAACAAATGGTTTAACCCAAACCTTTTGGTCCAGCAGCGTCGCTGTTATGTTCTCCTTATGACTAGATGGAGAATTTGGAATGGAATCACAGAATTCCGTGGAAGTAGCATGGGAAGTCACTGCCTGCATGTTGTAAGGACGGCTCGCTGCTGGCACAGACCTCACCGAGCCACCTGAACACAACCGCCCTGCAGAAGGGGGGCAGTGAGCCACCCCCAAGGTGCTTACCCCGAGTTCTCTGTTTCTGGCCACGGCCTGGAAGAGCCTGAGGAGGTGGAGCTGCTCTGCCTGGTCCAGCTGGGCCGTCAGTGCCAGCAGGTCCCGCAGCCGGAGCGCGATCGGCCGCGGCTGCTGCTCGTAGAGCGCGGGCAGGACACGGAGCAGCATCGAGTTCCCTGGGGACACAGCAAGGACAGGGCAGGGGCTGCTGGTGGGCAGTGCCCTACACCTGCAGAGAGCCCCACAAAACCTGCACACACCCACAGACACCAGTTTTTGAGAATAACACCAGTTCCTCCCCCTGCCGTGGGCAGGGACATCTTCCACTATCCCAGGTTGCTCCAGGCTCCAACCTGGCCTGGAAGAATCATCTGTACAAAACCAGGGAGGCATAAAAAGCACCGCAGAAAATTATGTACCTAGCCAAGAAGCCCAATAAATAACCTAAATAGAATGAATCAGGTGTAACAACGGAAGTGTAAAAAAAAAAAAATCCTATTAATTATCATTTTATTTCTCAAGTGCAGTATCATGAGGATGCTGCTTAATGAGCTCTCAGATTTGGATGATGCTCTGTTGAGCCCTAGACCAAACTAAGTGTGATTTCAGTTAATGAAGAGAAAAAAGAAGAGAAAAAAGAAAAGAAGAGAAAAAAGAAGAGAAAAAAGAAGAGAAAAAGGAAGAGAAAAAAGAAGAGAAAAAAAGAAGAGAAAAAAGAAGAGAAAAAAGAAGAGAAAAAAGAAGAGAAAAAAAGAAGAGAAAAAAGAAGAGAAAAAAGAAGAGAAAAAAGAAGAGAAAAAAGAAGAGAAAAAAAGAAGAGAAAAAAGAAGAGAAAAAAAGAAGAGAAAAAAGAAGAGACAAAAAGAAGAGAAGGAAAAATGAGAAAAGAGAAAGAAAAGAGAAAGAAAAGAGAAAGAAAAGAGAAAGAAAAGAGATAAAAGCTCTAATTCTCCTTTGTTGAGATTCAGGCTTTCACATGAAATAGGCAGCACATGGAAAGAATAGTTGGTTATTAAGAGAACTAAATATGCACTTGCACAGAAATAGTTAAGGATGCCATTTCCAGGAGGAGAAGGGAGCCAGGGAGAGTCGACTGCAGGCAGAGCTGAACCCTCTCTCACACGGTTCCTGAAGATGTCTGTGCATAATTCAATTTGAAGGCCAGGCTCATACCAAAATCCATAACCCCCCAGTGCTGTACACGCCTGCCTCCGTGGATTTAAGTTTCACTTGAGCAACATATGGAAAACATCTGCCTGTTGCAACCTAGTGTGGCTCCTTTCTGCAAAGCCTTGGAAGTGCTCACGGTCTCTTTGGATTGGTTTCCAAGAGGAACTGCTCTCTGGCCTGCTGCTTTTTCTCCCATTTAAACCTGAGCCGTGTAATTTGGGAAGATAAGCAGATCTCTTCATGGATGGCCGAAAAAGGATATTTGGGTTCAGGCTGGAGCACGCCGGGCTCCTGCCAGAGACAGCAAACGCACCCCAGGACACGGCTGGGTCTTGGAACGTCCCCCCGGGCCAAGAGACGAACGTAATTCATTGCAGGTTCAGACAACTGTGAGTCAAACAGCTCGTAATGATCCCTCAGGGGTCCTTCACCTCCGGGGGAGTGTCTCCAGCCAGCCACACTTCTGCATCCTCTCCTGCCTGGAGAATCCCTGGCTCCTCCCTGAAGGCCACTCTGAGCCCTCTGTGCAACCAAAGGCAAGGTCAGAGCCCACCTCTCACCCCACGGACACGGCAGATTTGGGTCTTGTTCTGTTCTGTGAACAATCACAAAGGCCACTGGCAAATGAAAGGGATTTGTTGATGAATGACCCTAAAAAGATGAGCAAAATGCCATTTTCTACCCACGTTCTCTGGGCAAGTCTCTTCCAGATGTTACAAGTGAATCCACCTAAAAAGTGTCACCACCAAGGCACTGTGGGCACCAACTCATCCACAGGGAGAACTGGGATCTCGGGGAAAGGTTCTTCCCCCAGAGGCTGGTTGGGCACTGACCAGGCTCCCCAGGGCAGTGGGCACGGCCCCAAGGCTGCCAGAGCTGCAGGAGGGTTTGGACAACGCTCTGAGGGACAGGGTGGGGTTGTTGGGGTGTCTGGACTGGATGGTCCTTGTGGGTCCCTCCCAACTCAACTGTGATTCTGTGACAAAAAGGTGAGAGGATGTATTTACTTGAACTTTTCTAGACTCACACCATAGTTCAAAATTGAAACACTTTGCACCGAATACACTAAGAATTATTTTCCCTCTGGACAACGTCGTGCTCGCAGAAATAAGTCTTTTCTTTGCACTTGCCCTTGTTTAGTTTCCACTGGAAGTTTTCTGCCCATATGGAGCAGAGCCCTTAAGCTCCAGTAGAATTTCGGCAGCTGTAACAATGGCAAAAGAAGAAATTCCCCTATTCCTGGACAGGCAAAAGTCATCTCAGCTATGGAAGTGTGGTGGGAAGGAATTCAACAGAGAGCAACAAAAATAACAGCTTTAAGCAAGCAAAGACACTAAAACCTGAGCCATGCTACTGCCTAAGCTGGGATGTCACAGATAGGAAGGGATCTGGAAAGTAAGACTAATTATTTAATCTGGGAAAACAAGCCTTTGAAGTGTGGGCTGTATCAGGGCAGTGATGCAATTGGATGTGACACAAGGTGATGGATTTCAGCCACAGAGCCTCTGTGAACAAAAACCACTTTGTGCAAACACAGATTTGGGCAGTTTCCTGAAGCCAACACTGCTGGGTTTATATTCACTAACCAAGATAAATGAAAAGCAAAGGCAATTTAGGAGCAAACCCATCCCTTTGCAGCAACATTGAAGTGACCTCACTGACAGGGAATTGCTTTTAACTGGATAACCTGTGTATGCACACGTGTAAACAATCCCCCAGGTACCATAGCTCGTGTCTGTTCTCCACAGAGCTCCTGAAAGGTCATTAGGCACAACCCAATTGGCTACTCTTTGGTATTTTCATGTTTGAGTTAGCTCTGAGTACCTCTTGCTGTTTGTTTGTCACATCTTTTTTTGTCTCTGAGGGATTTACACACACAGCTCACCCACCTTTTGGTTCTCAGATCACAGGCAGCCAGAGGTGATATTGTGTGTTATAAATAATTCACTTTTCGCCAATCTTGCTTCATCTCTCTCAGGCTAAACCAAGTGCCTGAAAACATATTTGTTGTCTGAGAATGGAAAAACATCGTACTCAGCTCCTTAACTACCTTCCTTCCCTCTTCCATCCCCACCTCCCTTACCCCCAATACTTTCCAGATTAGATTTTCTCAGACTTTCCAACAGACCACACACTGGGAATTATGCAACTCAGGCACAAACCAACCTCCAGTTGGGGACAGCTGATGGTTGAGAGGCAGGAGGAGGAACCACAACGATGTGGGTGTGTCGTGGTGGTGCCAGCCCAGCCCAGCCCAGCCCAGGCCACAGCCCCCTTCCTGGCTGCCCTCCTTGCACCCAGAAATGGCAAAGGTTGCCTTGTGCTCCAGCCCTGCTCTGCCCATCCCAGCAGCACAGAGAGCTTGGGAAAAGCCACGAGCCTGGGAGCACGTGGCAGTGTCACATGGACAGAGGAGCTCTCAAAGTCCCACAGCTGTGTTTGAGCCTCACTCCAAAGTGGGTGTCCAAAGACAAAGCCTGTGCACCAAGAGTAACCCAAGTTAGGCACATACCTACTTGAAAATCCCAGGATCACTGAGGCTGGAAAAGCCCTCCCAGCCCATGGATCCCCCCTGTGCCCCATCCCCACCCTGTCCCCAGCCCAGAGCACTGAGTGCCACGGCCAGGCCTTCCTGGGACACCTCCAGGGCTGGGCACTCCAAACCTCCCTGGGCAGCCCCTGCCAGTGCCTGACCACCCTTTCCAGGGAGAAATTCCTCCCAAAAATAACGATCACCTCTACTTTACCAGACTTCCCAGGTTTCTAAAATATTGCTATTTATTATTTCCCCTCTCAGGAGAGCAGCTGGAGGGCCCACAGTGGCAGGAACCCCCATACCATAGAATCACAGAAGAGTTTGAGTGGGTTAAAAGCCATCCAGTTCCCTCCTCCGCCATGGTCAGGGACACCTTCCACTATCCCAGGTTGCTCCAAGCTCCATCCAACCTGGTCTTGGACACTTCCAGGGATGGGGCAGCCAGAGCTTCTCTGGGCAACCTGTGCCAGGGCCTCACCCCCCTCACAGAGACGGATTTCTCCCCAATATCCAAGGCACAGGTAGCCCAGGTTTGCATGAGCAAAAGCAGAGACACAAATGGAAAGGGAACACACACTGCAAGTTAGATATAATTACATTTTTTTTTTGCTATTCTCTGGATATTTCATAGGCAATACATAATTTGTACCATATTATCCCTCATCTCACCTGAGCAATGCATCTCTGAAATGATTAATGGCCCACTGAACTGATGAGATTGTGGAATTCGAACCAGATTAGCACCAATAATCCTTCCACTACATTAATGCAACAGCGCCTTGTTTTGCTTTTTCAAAGGTAACAGACCTTTGAAAAGCTCTGACCGTGCAGCTGCTGATTTACACACTCCCAAAACCAGATCCAGCACTAACAGATTATCCACACAGTTATGGGGGGGTTAGGGGTAATTAGGGCTGGAAAAGCAAAACTCCAACAAGCTGTCCTTAAGAGTTCTCTTTTACTGCTTAAAGCAATAAACTGTGAGTATATAATAGAACTTATTATATAACATCACACAACCATCCAAAAAAGCTGCACTATTTAGTCAAACCAGCCACGTGTATCCAAAGCAGCTCCAGGTATGTTTATTTTCCTCGCAGTCCCCTCCCCAGCCCTGGCACATACCGAGCACAAACCGAGCTTGCAGGGAGCGCTTTCTTTCCCCCAAATAACACAGCCCGGCACAGCCAATCCAGGCAGCGAACTCCAAGTGCTTCCACCCCTGCATTGCTGCACGTCCCAGAAATCCGCTCTCGGGGGAAGCGGCGGCTCCAGGAGCAGCTTTCCCCCGCTTTTCCCCTCCACGAGTCAGTACATCCCCCAGTGGACCCTGGAAGGCTGGGATTGAGCAAACTGCACGCCCCCTTCCCTCCCGGCCAAAACCAACAGCCCCGAGTGCTCCGGTTACACCACTGGCACGGGGGCTGCTCATTCATTCGGGCTGAGGCGCTCGCAGCATTTATTAGGGGC